AGCACTAGGATTTTCCTTGATGAGCAGGGTGTGTGTGTGTGTGTGTGTAACCATGCTAGTAGGGGGAAAAATCTCTCACCCAAGTGAAAGAGAAGTCCTAAATTGAGGTCAGCAAAAAGGGTCAACCGTGGCCAGTGATTGGAGTGATGGAGGTTGGGGTTCCTCCCTCTCAAAAGGTACCAGGAAGTTGCCAAATGCTCAATAGTCAATCTTCCCCTACCAAGAGAGACGTTTATGCTGACCAATGAGGGGAACTCACCAATCCAGCCAGTGTTGCATGTAAGACGTAGTGATCTGGTTGCCAGAAAGTGGGTCATGGGTGGGTTTGAAATGAAACAGGTTTCCAGCAGCTCCAGTGGCGGTGCTGGCTCCAAAAGCAACCACTTGGTGTGGCCACAAAGTGCCTATTTTGGCCAATGCACCAATGTTAGGATTGTGCAGCGAAGTTACACTGTGGGCTCACAAATCACGCCACACTACTGGTTCCACGTGGGAGGTTTTATTAAGGGAAGGGGTCACAGAGACTGTCTCTGTAGGGTAGGAGGGGGTGGGGAGGAGGTGGTTTGAGTTCTCTTATAAGGTGACCCAGAGCATGCACAGGTAGTTTCAGGTGGTCCATGGGTGGTCCGTAGGTGGCCTCACAGATGACTGATATCCCATTTGTCAGTGGGGCTGGACGTAGAGCTGCTTATGGATCCCAACACATGTATGTACTTTTAATCATTGTTTTTTATCCCTACCTTATGCCTTCCCAACTTCATGTCCTCTTTTTTTTTTTTTTTTTTTAAATACTGTGTTTAAGGAAGGTTATAGCATGTCATATAAAAGCTGTAAATGTAGCGACAAAGAAATAGGCTGGGAGTGATGGTGATATTCTGTGCATCATTTAGTAAGATATTCTGTGCATAATTTAGTAAGGATGCAGGCAAGGGGAATGGTAGAAAACCACAAGCGTAATAGGATTGGAGGACATGGGGATTAGAACAGAGGATGAGTCAATGGTCACTTAAGCTTTTGAATCTCAGTGGCTAAAAGTTATTTTTATTCACTCATTGACTTACTGAATATTGACACAGTGCCATCTGCCACTCTTAAGTGATTTAAACTTTACATTCATTTACTTATGCCCTTGTTCCATGGCATGTGTGCTATGTTAGAGGATAGCTTATGGGAATTGGCTTTTTCCTTTCACCTTGTGGGTATCAGGGATCAAACAGGTTGTCAGGCTAGATGATATGTACCTTTATTCACTAAATATCTCTCCAGCTTACACCATGTGCTGTTCTAGGCTGAGGCTAGGAAAAATTGTCTTTTACTTACCTTCATGGAACTTTCCAAATGTATGAGGTTGTTAGCATATAGGAGGCAAATGATTCCCTGTATTGTGATAGAGTCCTTTACATGTGTCTATAACACAGGGAAGCTTCTCAGAGGAAAACACTGACGCCGACTGAAGTAAGAGTCAGAGTCACCCTAGAATAGGAGGGAGGGAATGTACAGGTAACAGAAAATTTGAAAACTGCTAGGAAGGAGAGCACATTAAAGACCAAAGAATAAATGAAGTTGAAGAAGCAAGAAGAGATAATCCCTTGAAACCTTTGTATAAGAGAAATGGGTATATCTATATTAGAGGTTTAAGAAACAGCAGGCTTGCATTCTGAAACAATCACTAAAACTGAGCAAAAACAGATTGGAAAGTAGCTAGGCCAGCCATGAATAGGCCAGTTGGGATCCCTGCAGAAACCCATTTGACAGCAATAGGGACTAAAATGGCAGTGGTAGAGACATGAGATATAGAGATTCGAGAAGTATTTAGGAGAGTGGCAGCAGAAACAAGGATAAAAACAGATGACCAAAGACAGCACTAAATGGCAAGACCATTAGGAGTCCAAAAGGGAAATAGTGGAAGCGCGAGACTTAAAGAAATGATAGCTATGTAACCAAGCCATGTACTGAACACGTTTTGACCCACTCTGCAAGGTGATAGAGAGAGAGAGAGAGAAAAAAATAAGATATAGTCTTCGACTGAAGGTATTTTGCAGGTCTTTTTTTAAAATAATTTTTATTTTATATGCATTGGTGTTTGACTGCATGTATGTCTATGTGAGGGTGTCAGATCCCCAGGAACAGGATTTACAGGCAGTTGTGAACTGCCATCTGGGTGCTGGAAACTGAACCCAGGTCCTCTGGAAGCAGTCAGTGCTCTTAACTGCTGATCCACCTCTCCAACCCTGGCATTTTGCAATCTTATGGACAGAGACCATTATTTTACAAAATGTTCCAGATTATGTATGTAAAACAAAATGTTGTAAATGCTATGCTAAAGATTTATACACTCTGGACTGTAAAAGAATCCACTTTGGGACCAAAAGAAAAAAAAAAAAAAAAAAAAAAAGAGGCCAGGCTACTCAGTGAGGAAAGGGGCTGTTGAGGCAAACTTCAGTGAAGAAAATGTTCAAGTTGCATTTTACTTTCAAAACCACAATTTGCTTTTCAAACCACAATATTCATATTGCCACTATCTTATTGGCTCTATTGGTGTGAAGAGACACCATGACCAAGGCAACTTTTAAAAGAAAGCATTTAAATGGGGCCTGCTTACAGTTTCAGTGGGTTACTCCATGACTATCATGGTGGGGAGCATAGCAGCAGGCAGGCAGGCATGGTGCTACACAGTAACTGAGAGTGCATATATGACTCAAAATTGCATAGATGGATGGACAGAGACAAAAAGACTAGATCAGGCATGGGCTTTTAAAACTCCAAAGCCCACCCCCAATGACAGACACACTTACTCCAACAAGGCTACGTCTCATCCTTTTCAGTTTCATCGGGTGCCAAACATTTAAATATGAGTCCATGGGGGCCATTTGCATGCAAACCACCACAGCCATGCTTAGAGAATTCCCAGTTTCACCTTAGCTGGGCCTAGGAGCTAAGGTGTAGGATGGGTTTGAAGGTCAGAAAAGAAGTAGGGATAACAGACACATGGTGGACCTTTTACCAACAGAGAAACCACTGAGGAGTCACTTTTGGACTTACTGAATGTGTAGGAGTGTGGTAAGGTACAGGTCATTGGGTAGTCCTTCTATATGGTCTGAACATAGGCTCTGACTATGGAGAAGAAAAGGTAGGGCAGACATTTCATGTATCCAGTCATCTGTGAGAGGAAGTTTTTGTACTGTATTCATCCACTGACCAATACTGTGGACATAAAAGAATAAGTGTAAAACTGTGCACAAATAACAAGTTTAATTTTGAATCTGGAGTGCTCACGAACACTCAGAAAAGTTGTGATAAAGTTGGGTAGTTTTTAGACTCAGGAAACATCCTGATTTGCATGGTAAATAATGAGTCCTGGGGTCTGGGCTGCAATTCTCAAAAACAGACACACATAAAACTTAAGATCATACTATTCCTCACTGCTAATCATTTTGCCTCTTTTGACATGGGACAACCCCATCTCTATTTGTCAGGTTATGTAACAACAATACCTCACAAATCCTGGCCAATGAATTAAAGGATGTAACTGTTGATGCATGACCTCCTGACTGCTCCCTTCAAAGGGCTCTTGTGGAGTTTGTGATGAGCTAGTAAGACTGATACAGGTCTGAGTTCTTATTGGATCTGAGTTCTCTATGTGGAGGACTACATAAGATTCTGAGAAAAACACAAATTCTTCCATGTTAAGCTGCTGAAACTTGGGGAGATTTTGTACCTTGTTCAACCCTCGCCATCCTGATTAAGTTTGTGATACAGATAAAGAAATCACCTGTATATATGTGATAGACGTTGCGGGCCTAGGTACTATCAAAAGTAGAACTTGCAGTACAATTAGGAGGCCCAGTAATTAGGAGGCAGACAGACAGTGGAGCTGAGAAGTGATGGGAGAAATAGCAGGAACAGATACTTGAGGTCAGAGGGATAGAAGAAAAAGCTGTGGCCAAGTGTCAAATGCTGCTTAGAGGTCAATCATGAGGACTGGCGAAAACAGGCTGGATTTGGAATTAAGACATCATAATCTTGCTGGCTAGAGCACTGGTGTATTAAGAGTCTCTGCACAAGATTAACTACTCTGGATACCACTGTAATTTATTACAGGACATTCATGAGCCCCTAAACTAGATTAAAATTTATCCCATATGTAAGTTTTATAAAAAATATTTTAGTCTGGGTATGTACACCTGAGTGCAGGTGCCTATAAAAGTCAGAGGCATTATATAAACAGGATCTGGAGTTTACAGGTGTTTGTAAACTGCCCAATGTGTGAGGCAAGAATCAAATTTGAGTCTTCTACAATATCAGTATATGCCAGTAATCACTGAGCCTGCTCTCCAGGCCCACCATCCCTGCTTTAACACCAGGAACTTACATGGGTCAATGTCTCAACTACTCTTTCATCTATTTTCTATTCTAGATTCCAACAAAAATTACTGGCAAAAGATCTCTGAACTATGAACCTTAAGTCATACCTTCAGTTCTCTTACTCGGCCTGAAAATTTTGTTTACTATTGACGTTTCTTACATAAAGTGCTCCACCTTGCTTTTTGACTCAATTTGACTCCTTTTTCTCTTCCATTCCTGTTGAACCTTTGAACTGGAACTCTTTTGTCGTTCTTTATTCAGTACTGTGCTCTCTCCTGGAACATCCCATAAGCAAGATATTAGTTCAATGACATCTTTAAAAATTTTCATCACACATGTACATACATGTGAGTTTGTGCATGTACAGAGGTCAGAAGACAACCTCTGGTGTCTACCTTGCTTTGCTTCTTGTTGTTTGCTGCTGTGTATATCATCCTAGCTCCACAACCTTCTGGGATCACAGACGCTTGCCACTGCACCCAGTGTTAGATGGTAGGCATTTGAAATCAGGTTCTCACAAATGCATGGCATTAAGCCTTTACCCACTGAGTCATCTCCATCTGTCAAAGACACTTTAAATCATATAATTCTTACTCATATACTAAAGTGCTATTTCAAAGCACAAAACTTATAAATTCTGTTTCAAATGTCATTTTATTGTAAGATGGTATAACTAATTACAAGTTTAAACTATCACTTGGTAATTTTAGTCAGGCAGCAAGTTGCTGCAAATCGTTTATTCAAAAGTGATCACTAGACAACTCCAGATACAGAGGAAGGATCAGAAATACCTTACTGGCCAATATGGTTAAGCCACTAAATGGACCTTGATCATTTCTTAGGAAAGGTACACTGTAAGAGTTCTTCACACAGACTAGTTCCCACTTAACTCAACTCTCTGGCCATCTCGAATGAGATAGATACATTCACATAACTGGCTGAGCTTGAGCCTTCTTTGAGAGTAGCTTTAGATCCTGAATGCACTTGGCAATGGTCTCCTTTTCCTGTGACAAGGAAAGAAAAATCTAGTTAGAATCGCAAGAACATGGCAGGGTGACATAATCTAAGATATTTCCTACTAGACCAGATCTTCAAGATTACTGTTTAATATACAAAGCTTCCTAAAAAATTTACAAGTGAAATAATAGTAGAACATAGGGAAGATAGAAGCAAATCCTAAAATCCCCTGGCCCACAGCTTTTAAGAGTAAAACCTACAAAAAAACAAAACAAAAACAGGGCTGATTATGCTTCTAACCACTTTTAGCTGACGTTAGTTTGGGTAATCATACCACCTTGAAAAAGACCAACCAACAAACACTAGTAATACAGAATATTAATAATGAAATAACTGGGGTTGGAGAGAGGAGATGGCTCAGCAGTCAAGGGCATTTCCTACTCTTCCAGAGGACCCAAGTTTGGTTCTCAGCACCCATATCAGGTTGCTCACTGCCGTATATAATTCCAGCTGCAGAGGATTTGAGGCTTCTGGCCTCCATGGGCACACACAGGCACACTAAAAATATCTATTAAATAAAAATAAATGTTAAAAAAGGAATGAAAATAATTGTCTCTTTTCTATACTTTCCTGTTGTTTTAATTTTTTAAAATAAGGAATATATTACAATGCATCAAATTCTCACAGACCTTGCTTTTCTTCTTTTTCATCTTTTAAAAATTTTGTTAACTTTTAAATTTTTTTTTATTAATTACAGTTTATTCACTTTGTATATCAACTGTAGCCCCCTCCTGATCCCACCCTGCCTTTCTCTTCTCCACCCATGCCCCTTCCCCAGTCCATTGATAGGGGAGGCCCTCCTCCCCTTCCATCTGATCCTAGTCTATCAGGTCTCATCAGGACTAGCTGCACTGTCTTGCTCTGTGGCTGGGTCAGGCTGCTCCCTCCTCAGGGAGAGGTGATCAAAGAGCCAGCCACTGAGTTCATGTCAGAGACAGTCCCTGTTCCCAATACTACGGAACCCATTTGGATACTTGCGCTACCATGGACTACATCTGTGCATAGGTTCTAGGTTATCTCCATTAATGGTCCTTGGTTGGAGTATCAGCCTCAAAAAACAGCCTTGTGTCTAGACTTTTTCCCCCTCTCCTTGTAGAGCTCCTGTCCCTGTCCCCTCCAGGTATTTCTACCTCCCTCTTCTTTCATAAGATTCCCTGCACTCTGCCCAAAGTTTGGCTATGAGTCTCAGCGTCTGCTTTGATACCCTGCTAGGTAAAGTCTTTTAGAGGCCCTCTGTGGTAGGCTCCTGTCCTGTTCTCTGCTTTTCCCTCTTCCACTGTCTGTTCCATTTGCCTATCTAAGTGTGGTTTGATCATCTTACCCAGGGTCCTCTTTCTTGATTAGCTTCTTTTGTTGTATAGATTTTAGTATGATTATCCTATATATGTCTAATATCCACTTATAAGTGAGTATATACATATACCATGTGTGTCTTTCTGTTTCTGGGATACCTCACTCAGGACGATCTAGTTCCCACAATTTGCATGCAAATTTCATGATTTCCTTGCTTTTAATTGCTGAGTAGTATTCCATTGTGCAAATGTACCACAATTTCTGTATCCACTCCTCAACTGAGGGATATCTGGGTTGTTTCCAGCTTCTGGCTATTACAAATAAGCTGCTACGAACATGGCTGAACAAATGTCCTTGTTGTAAACTTGAGCATTTTTTGGACATATGCCTAGGAGTGGTATGGCTGGATCTTGAGGAAGCGCTATTCCTAATTGTCTGAGAAAGCACCAGATTGATTTCCAAAGTAGTTGTACAAGTTTACATCCCCACCAGCAATGGAGGAGGGTTCCCCTTTCTCCACATCCTCTCCAGCATGTGTTGTCACTTGAATTTTTGATCTTAGCAAGTCATTTTATTTTATTTATTTTATGTGCATGACTGTTTTTTCACTGGGCTGTGCTTTGAAGTTTCTATCTCACGCCAGGCCCAGTATTCTTCTGTTTTATGCTTGTGGATCAGAGGTTCTTAGCTACTGCTCGGTGCCATGTCTGTTTGCTTGTTCCCTGCCATGAAGTCATGGACTAAACTACCCTTTGGAACTGTAAGTCACAAATTACATCTTTCTTTTACAAGTTGGTTTGGCCATGGTGCCTTGTCAAAGGGGTAGAAAAGCAACTAAACAGGAAAAACACTAGCCTCCAAACCTAAAAACCTGAGTGCAATCACTGGGACTCATATAATAGAGAAAAAGAACTGCCTCCCACAAGTTATCCTGACTTCTACATGGGTGTTATGTGTGCACATGTACACACACACACACACACACACACACACACACACACACTAAAAAGCGCATGATTGCCAGGGTACCAGTCCAACCATAGAAGCTATAAAACGTCATGTACCTGCTGTGCAGAAATGCTCTGCACCACACGCTTTTCCACCCAGTTTATCATGTGCTCTTGCTCCTTGCGACGCAACATGTCCTGTACGGAAATGTGATAGTCCAGGCGACTCTTTACCTCCTTATATGCTCTATATAGCCGTTCTCGATAAGTGACCTCCAAGGCCAGGGCAATGTTATTCTGGGGGAGAGGGGTGAGTGAAAATTAAGAAATGGTTTGCACATTTTTTGCACATAATTAAGAAATACTGTTTGCACATACAAAAGGATACTTCTGATTTGGTAGCTTTGCCAGATAGTATACTCCATATCTCACTTGTATGTATGTATATGTGAAATTCCTTTAATATGCAGGTAGTAAAACACCATGTGGCAAATAAACCATTGGTATAGGCTACCATTTTTCTCTTTCTTACATTCTTCCCCACAAATATTTAACACAACAGATGTTACGCATACAAACATGCTTATATATCCTTGTGCTATATACCATACACCTCAATTTTAACGTACGACGGAGTCCAACACTGTTTTAAGGGTTCCAGGATCACTTATCCAAGTTCTGCTAATAGGGTTAGGCTGTTTCCAATCTTTTCTACTAGAAATAGTGCTGTGTGTGCATGATATCTATCTTATGTTTGAATGGTAGCTCATATTTGCTATGATCTATACATTCTTGTACTTGTGCCAATTAAGTCAACTTTTATAAATACATCATAGGGTACAAGTGTATCTATTTTACAGAGAGAAACAGATAGATAAACTGTGAAGCTAAGATATGAACACAGACAATCAGGCTACAAAGCCCGTACTTTTAAGGATCTATTCTTACCTAACCCTCAAAGCTTTTTGAAGGCTATTTGCAACAATCTTGCCAGAGTGATCCTTTAAAATGTAAGTGAAACCACATCACTCCTCTGCCTATAACAACTTTCTCTCAATCACCTTAGGTCAAGCCCTCCCAAGAAACACCAATGACTTGACATATTACAGCCCTTGCCTATGCGCTTCCTTCTTTCTTTTATTCTCTCACTCAGCCATTCTAACTTTAGCTATGTTGGCATTGTGACTGCCTTGATTACAGAAAATAACTTCTCGGATGAAGGCCCTTCCAGCTGTTTGTCTCTGCCTGAATCATTATTTCTTTAGGAACCAGCATAACTTGACCATTACTTCTTTCAGGTCCTTGCTCAAATATTTTATCAGACATCTTTCCCAACTGTCCTACAAAACAGTAATTCCTTATTCCCGCAGTGTTTACTATTAGTTTCCCGTCTTCTTAAGCACCACAGTCTTCTAACACCTGGCTATAAAAGTATAAACTGAAGTTCTCAGACATGGGGGAGGGACACAAAAGAGTATCAAACATTTACAAGGCTGATTAACAATGAAAACTTCAGTCATGATTTTATAGGTTTAGACCCAAACCACCTTGGGCTATTTCAGCTCCTAAAATTGATATTTATTATCCAACTCTACCTATGACCCAATATCCTTGTGACTATTAGGTAAATACTTAGGAATACACAGGCTCACTCACCAACCTAAAGGCTAAGAATAATCATTAGTTTATATGTATCTGAGGCCTACACAGAGATTTTCTTGCTTTGCTGTAACTTGCTGACCTAATGTTTCCACTAAAATGTTTTTTATGTTTGAGTGTTAGGATTGCATGCATGTTTGTGTACTGTGTGCACGTGTGTGCTTGCAGATGCCAGAAGAGAGCACTGGACCCCCTGGAACTGTATTTAGCTACAGAATAAACTCTTTTATTCCCTTTGAGATGAGAGGTGTTTTTCTGTGTAGACAAAAAGGAACTCTATGAAGATATAATTTTTTTTTTCTTGTTGATTTTCCTTATACCTCACCTTAGTATCCAGATAAGAACTGAACAAGTATATGGCTCAGAGCAATCCTTCTGCCTCAGCCTCCTGGGTGGTGGGCTAAAGGTGTGAATGATCATACCCAGCTCAGCTTCAACATTTTCTGAGATTTTAAAACTGAACTCATGTGCTTAATGAATCCTATTACAAAAACTGTAGATTCCTAGTCTCAAGAGGCCTAACTCTATAGGGCTTGAAACGGGTCAGAAAAACTAGTGAGTGATGCATGCGGTAATGAGGCCGCATGGATAATCAGTGGCCTAAATCCTTATTATTAGTATTTCAGATACTTTATCTCAGCATATTTTCACTGCATGCAGGTTTCTCTTAAACTTTTAAAAATGAACAGTTTGCATGCATTTATGTGCTTGTGTAATACGCATGCCCAGTGCCTGTGCAAATCAGAAAAGGGTGTCTGATTCCCTGGAACTAGAGCTGTGAGCTACTATGTGGGTACCAGAAACTGAACCCAAGTTTTCTGAAAGAGCAACAAGTGCTCTTAACTGCTGAGCTACCTCTTTAGGTCCATATGTGTGCTTATGTAATACAAAATTTCAATAAGACATCTTACCTTCATTTTATTTTTTGAGAGTAAGTTTCTCTCTTACTTTTAAATATTTGGCATAAAATAGTGGGCTCAAAAAAAAAAAACAATGATAAAATATCTGACATCCTTCTAATTTTAGAATCTAATTAAGCTCTGGCTATGATTACAAACTCTACTGCTTTTCAGTTCGGCTTTCTGAATGAATGTTAAGGATCAGATTATCTAACAGCAAATGTTAAGATTTTCTTATCCAAATATGATTAAATGCAGAGAATGTATTTCACCTTTGGTTTTCTTAGATAGTGCATACTTTATTAAAAAGCAACAACAACAATAACAACAAAACAGTCCTAACTTATTTTTTTCTTTTGTATGGACTCAAACTGTGTTCTTTTACAATTTATACTGCTTTTAAACAATCGTAAATATTAATTTCATTTATATACACATTTTCACTAAAATATCTACCTAACTATAATTGCCAAATTCTAGTCAAATCTTTTCTATATAAAATAAAGCCCATTTTAATCATTCCTCAAAATATTCTTATTTTTTGGATAGAGTTGGGGCTTTCTTGCACATGGAAGGCAAGTGAACTACAGTTGAACTACATCCCCAGATACTAATATTTTATTGTCTTTTTGTTTTTAGCACACCCACAAATAACTAAACTATATTAGGAGTTACTGAAACCTACCCTCTGAGCGTCGAAGAAGTAATGGCGCTTCTGAACCAGTGCCTGCTGTGCCTTCTCCATGTCAATTGCATCCTGAATTTGTTTGATGGACGACTGCTTTACTTCTTCTAGTTCAGCAATTTTTTGCTGTAATTATATTACAATGTCAGCTGAAGCACTAACAGTACCAAAAATTCATTTTATGCTCCTACAGTTTTATTCATCATCTACATAAATGCTCATGAAGACACACACAGAGGGAAACACACAAATCTTTAAAAGCATTACCTATAAGAGTTACATATCACTGAAAAAAAAAAAAAAGATCAAGGAAGGTCAACTTAAACTAAGGATGTGTGAAAAATACTATATATAAAACCTGCTGTTCTGTATGGTAAGTAAATAACCATAACGAGAATTTGAGCAGGCTACCCTGCATAGGTGGATAATATTGCTCCTAGAAGCCATAGGTTATTAAAAAAAAAAAAAAAATCCCAGTACTAGGTTTGAGATATTAAATTGTTGGTCAGGAGGCTCCAAGGGCCCCAATACAGTCTACTTTCATTGCTCCTGACTGAGTAGCAGAATGAGAGAGATGGTTAAGATCCTGCTGCTGAAATGACCACAAGACAGAGAAATCTATCTTGAACTAAGATAGATGTTTTTTCTCTGCTGGCTAGTTTTCGCAATACCTGAAGGTGCTAGGTAGGCAGAGGAAGAGAAATCATCAACAATTTTTCCCTTGATCTGAACCCTTCAACCTCTAACATCAACCTGCCAAGATATGTTCCAGTGTAATGACTATGATTTTTTTCTTTCTTTCTTTTGTCTTTGAGACAGGGTTTCTTTCTGTAGCTATGGCTAGCTTGGACTCACTTTGATGACCAAACAGGGTGGCCTCGAACTCAGAGACCCACCTGCCTCTGCCTCCCTGAGTGTTGGGAATCACAGGCGTCGTGTACTAGCACGCCTGGCATCATCAACTATTTTCTGATTGGTTTTGACATCTACTCTACAGGAAGGAACTCATGTATGGTTCTGTAAATCCAGTCCAAATTCCTTGATTTAGGATAGAACATACTTTTGTTGTTTTGCTAAATGAATAGTGTCAAAGTATTTTCTGCATATTTATTTTCTACCCATAGATTGTGCTTCTTTTAGCCTTCCTTGGAGAAGCTTGTTTTCAGTGAGTAGTAATTATGAGACTCATTAACTAGTGAATACATGACTGTGGAGTGCTCAGACCTAAATGTGACATCTGTATCACCTCCCCCAAGGCTCAGGGAACACCAAGGAAGAGGAAGCAGAATGATTCTAATCTAATGGTTATGGAGGAACAGTACCAAATGCTATATATTCTGGACATATCACAGTCAATGAACTAATGAACTCAGAGCAGCTGTGGTTATTTGTACAAGACTGAACTGTCAAGTTTCAATCATGGATGTAGGAGGAATTCAGAAAGCCCTACTCTTTACCACAAGCAGTTAATGGTTGCTGAGGGAGAGTATTTTTCTTCAGTGGTATACACACCGGTATGTTTCTGTAAACAAGCACCCAATATGCAAGCAATACCAATAAAAACCAATAAAAACACAAAAACAAAAGCATGAGTGTAGGAAAAAGACTTGTTGGGAAAAGAGTCAGCAGAAATGGGAGGAGGGGAGGAAGAGGGTAATGAGAGATGAATGTGATCAAAGTACACATATAAAACTGTCAGAAGCAAAACGTCCACAATTTCAAAGTCTTCCTGGTATACAAAGTGAGCACTAGGTCAGAGGGCTACATAGTGATCTTGTCTCAAAAGGTCAAAATAATCAAATTCTATCACTTGGGAGACAGACATCAAGGGATTCAGGAATTCAATGTAAGTCTTGACTTTATAGAAGCTTACTATCACCCTGTGCCTCATGGGAGCCCTCACCAGGTCCCAACACATCATCAATCAATCAAGCAGATGAACACAAATGGAAGCATAGTTATTTTTTATTATTATTATTATAATAAAGAAGTAACTGTGTTTCAATTTATCCTAGTTGATACTCAACATAGTATGTTAGTTAACTCAGCATGTTCTAAAAAAACTATTCTTTGACAATATTGTACACATATAGTTTTCTTTTTATTAACTTAAAAGCAGCTAAAATGAGATATACTTTGGTTTTTAGAAATACGAAAAAGACTAAGGAAAAATCTGAAGAGTATGGTTGACTTAAATTCTATCTCAAAGCATTAACTAACTGCAACTGACTGTAACCATAGTAACTATATTCATTGGTGTGCCTTTCCCTCTAATGTCCGTATAATAACCATGCTAGACAACTGAGATGTTTCTGCTATAGTCTAAAGTGGGGAAAAAGTTTAAGATTCTTACCTCATTAAGTTTATCAATAAATTCTCCAATAGAGGCGCCATATTTCTTAATCACATAGATTATCAGCCCTACTACTGATATAGTAGAGAAGGTCTCTGCGGTAATCACATATATTTCTTTGGATAAAAAATACAAGCAAAGTCCAGTTCCAAGCACGTAGGGACCTAGAAGAACGAAAAGCCATCTTATATGTTATATCTACTGCACATTTGTTTACTCCAAGGCTAGTTAAAAATGATACCCAGGCTGTGCATGGTGGCGCATGCTTATAATCCCAGCACTCAGGAAGGCAGGGGCAGGTGGATCTTTATGAATTCGAGGACAGTCTGCTCTACAAAGCGAACTCAGGACAACCAAAGCTACACAGAGAAAACCTGTCTTGAAACCCCGCCCCCCGCCCCCCCCCCAAAGAGGTAATCAGATTATACACATACAGATTAAGCAGTATGTAGAGTTGAGAGAGAAGATCTGGACTGCAGGAAATCTATATCATGACTCTACAACTTATCAGAAACAGAAATCAAAATAATCTCTGAACTTTGTTTCCTCAAAGGAGAAACAGTCCCTTCTTCCCGGGCTGATAAAAGACATACCGTAAATGTCAAGCCCTAGCACACAGGAGCTCTTCTACACAAACATTAAGCTGCTGTTTTCTAGAGTAATCTGTCCAGCAACATATACTGCTAATTGAATGGAAATACAGGACAGGACAAAAATCTACACTTTCTTTGCCTACATTAAAAAAAAAAAGTCAAGATAAAAAAAACACAAGCAAAAAGCAATTATTAAAAATATACACAGTTATCAGAATCCTCAATTTCTGTAGGCAACTAATATAATATTTTCAAACATTTACCCCCCCCCCCCCAAAAAAAAAAGGAGGCCATGAGTTAACATGAGTTAAGAAAGAGAGAAGAGGATTCAGGATACAAACAGTTTTGTTTTTTTTTTTTTTCTTTTTAGATTGTTTTAAAAGTTGGAATTTACAGGTCTGGGGAAATGACTTAGTGGTTGAACATTTGCTCTTCTTGAAGAGGGCTCAGGCTTAAACTAGCATCCACATGGCAGGTCACAACCTTCTGTAACTCCAGCTCCAGGAGACTCAATACCCTCTAAGAGCACTTGCATGCAAGAGGTCCACAGATATACATGCAGGCAAAACACTCACACACATAAAAATAAAAACCATAAAAAGCTAGAATTTATCCTATTGCATAGAACGGACCTTTGCTTCTCAAGAGTGGAACTAAAGTAGCCTCTGACAGTCTTGCTATATAGCCCTAGTTGGCACTACAATTCCTGTCAGCTTCTGGCTAGGATTACAAGGATATGCCACCATGTCTGGCTACGTGTCTTAACAATTGCTACGCTGACATGATTTTGAAGTTAATAGTGTTTAGAACACAAATATTTCCTAAGCATTTTCCTTTGTATCTTACCAGATGTTAGGATGGGACACAAGGCTTTAAAGACAGCACTACAATTTGAGTAACAGTAGAGACAAAGAATTTTAACATGTATCACAAGAGTAAGAATTATAGTTCCGATTATATACAACCTAGATTTCTGAAAGTCTCAGGCTTTTTTCAGTATCTTTAGTATATAAAATTTAAATATGAGTTTATAAAAGGGACCATTGTATCAACATTTTAATGATTTACAGGATCCAAAGACACTCATTTTCTTCAACTTCAGATAAGAAAATGCTATTTTAGGACAGTCTAGAGCTACAAACAAATCTTGGGTTTCCAGTGTGCCATTGAAGAAAGGCAATATGCAGAGATAAGAGAAATCTAAGCCAAAAGACCTAAGTTCTAATCCAGTTTAGCCACAAGTGGGAGTAAGAAAACCTTGCAAATCACTTTTCTAGGTCTTATTGATAATAAAATGTTTTCATGAGAATGCCTACGTATTAAATAAGTGAAATCAGTCATTATAAAAAAAAAAAAACAATAGAAAACAAACAACACAGTTCTGAAAGATTGTATCTTTTATAAAAACCGATAAAGGAAGATGTTCCTACTGTTCTTAAGATAAGTGCCCATCATACACTCTCTAATAGCCTTTACTACTTTACTTTTATTCAGAGATCCCTTTATTATCTGACCGAGTAGGATATATAAGTACTAACTCTTAATTTTTTATCCTATACTACAATATATGTTCCACAACATTAGAGACTTAACTTAGTCCATTATTGTATGGTTAGAACAATGCCTGACAGTAAGTCAAAGAAATCAGCATGATTAGCAAGTTAATAAATAGAAACAAAGCTATAAAACTATAAGTTGGAGCAAGTGTTTTTTTTCTTTTTTTTAAATATGGGATCACCATAATTTTTTCTGGAAAAAAGAACTGACTTAATTTTAACAATATCACTTAAACATATTACTAAAGACCAGGCAATGCTCACCTGTTACACCAGTTTTAGGGTAAAGGAACTGGAAAAATTCCTCAGGAATCAGCCCAAGACGGACTTTTCCTCCATATTCAGGAAGAGGTGGTACAGGGGCAAGACGTGGCTGTCCTGTGTGAAACACCCTTGTTGCCTGTAATATCCTATAAACAACCATTATATAAATTTAAAACCAATTTTTCAAAGAAAATACAATGTACAATTAATAAAAACAATGACTGGGGATAAAGACTGAGTTCTTTCCTACTGCCACAATGAAAAGAGAACAGAGAAGAAATTGGAATGTCAAGGCAGTGACTTAAGATGCTTGAACCTTTTCTGGAATCTCTGTGTAAGTCTAGACTAAACACTAGGACTTTAGAAAAGATTTTGTTTTCAAAAACTTTTTTTTTTTTTTGTATTATGTGTGTCTGCACACACATGCACAACACCATACAGGTAAAGGTTAGAGGACAACTTGTAGGACTTGTTTCTCTTCTTTCACATGGGTCTGGGCAACAGAACTCAGGTATACTGTCCGGTTATATATTGGCAGGTATCTTAATGTAGAAGAATTTTAATCCAGTAACCTGTCTGCTCTTATTTTTTTTCCTGATTTTTTAAAAAATGTATTATTTATACAGTGTTCTGCCTGCTTGTGTGCCTACAGGTCAGAAAAGGACACCAGATATCATTATAGATAGTTATGAGCCACCATGTGGTTGCTGGGAAAGACCTTCTAGGTCTGTGTGATCTGGCTGGAATGCAGACGTGCCCACAGTACATACCTTTAATCCCAAACGGTGAAAGTAAAGTTAGTTTGTAGAAAGAGCATTGATGTTTGACAGTGAGGTCCAACTGAAAAGCAGACAGTGACTAATCAGAGAAAGATTTGACAGACTAGGATATGCCCAATTCTCAGAACAGAAAGGAAAGAGAGGCGGTTTAAGAGAAAGCAAGAGGAAAGAGAAGTGACTTAATAGGGAGCAGAGAGAGAGGGAGAGAGGAGGCAGTTTACTGGGACAGTTTTACTAAGACAGGTTGTAGAGAGAACAAGATAGACACAGGTAGACAGACATGCCAGAGAATGAAAAGGAGCCAGATGATTAGAACAGATTGCTAGTTAGTTTGAAGGTCAAGAACAGCAATTCCATCAGAAGCTGAGAAAAGCCAGTTTGAATCAGTCCTTTTGGAGAGGAGTTTGGGCCAGTTAGCCAGAGTTCAGAAAAAAAATAGAAAGGATGAGCTTATTCAGCAGTAAGTCTCAGAGGCTGAAAACATTCTAGGCCTAGATAAGACTGTACAAAGGCAAGAATCTTCCAGGATGAGGCCTAGGTTAGCAGACAGAAGCATTAAGCCAGAGATGACAATTACATCAGGTGAATAAAAGTTACTTTTACATTTTAACCTGCTAAACCACATCACTAAGCCTCTAGAACTCAAGTTTGTGTGATCTCAGATTTCTTTATGTAAGGAATAAAACATGTTACTTTACACGGCATTGTGAAGATTGAGTTAATAACTGTAACATTCTTAGAATGGTGCTTGTCATTTAGTAGGGTTCCACATGAGTAATTACCTAAATGCCAACTCTGCTATAAGCAACCTGATACTAAGAACTTTGCGTCTAAATATTCCCTTTGATGGACCTGTCATCCGTCTGTGAAACAGGCCTTTTCAGTTTGCAGTAGTTCTAATTAAGTTTCATCTTTGAGCTGTACATACATCTTTGGAACCTCAATCCATTTTCTTATTTTTCTGGCCTATGTAAGAAAATGCTCATATACATTTAGGGTAAACATTCAAGCTCCCTCACAATTCTGCCTGCCTGATAAAAAGCTTTCCAGATTTTATCTGGAAAGGGAAGGGGAGTGATGAGATCTAGGTTCCACACAATATTTTAAACCCAATAGTTAAAATAAATAAATAAAGCTTGATATTGCCACTTCTAGGCTTCAACTAGAATAGATTTTTTGCACACTATTTGTATTAGTCTCTGAATTTTTAGTAGTTACAGCATTGATAAAATCTTTGTGTTTCATTCACATCTGCAGTCAAACTTAGTCTCCTTAAGGTTTTAAGGATGATTCTCCCACACTTCCCATCTCACATCTCCTTTATCCTCTACATCTCTATAGTTCATGCACTTTAAGGGTTTAATAGGATTTTACTAATTTTAATTTTCTCATTTATTACAGTGCTATGAATTAGGCCCAGCAGCTCATACACGTAGGTAAACATTCCATCACTAAGCTATTACCTCAGTCCTATGTTCCTTATATTTGAATATCATTTTATGTCTCTAAAAACATCAGTGATTCCACCAAGCTTTGAAACTGAAAAACCATGCTAAAGATCCATTCCTTGAAATTAGGGTTTCCCAGCTTCAACCTGACTTAACATTTGGATTGGGTAATTCTTTGTTGTAGAGATGGCTCTTCTGTATACTCCTGAATGTTTAGAAATATCCCTGTAGCTGCCCAATGGTAGCAACCAAAACCGCTTTCAGACATGGCCAAATGTTGCCTGGAAAATCAACTGAAGGCTGATTCAGATCATACCACTAAAGAATTTTCTTTAGAACTTTGCCAAGGTTATCTCAGCTGAAGCCCTCATCTTCTCTTTCTCAAACTACTTTAACATCCTGAAAGCTAACCACTTTTCTTTTTGCCAAATATTCTTTAAATGTAGTTCCTTCATACTGCAGTCAATGCTTCTAAAACATGATCTGACTGAACACTCTTCAGCAGGCTCTCTTCTGTCTACAGAAAACAAATAGCACAGCTGACCCAGACCCTGCTAATTTTGTATCATTTTTCTTTAGTGCCTTACCTATACTCATGAACTACTCATGTCCCTCCAAAACAAGCTTAATGACCAAAGGGATTAGGGCTGAAGAGACAGCTGGCAGCCCAGCCAAGGTGCTTATTGTTCTCCCACGGGACCTGAATTCGGTTCCCAGCACCTATGCTGGGCTCACAATCATCTTTAACTCCAGATCCAGATATGAGACCCTTCTCCTGCCTCTGCAAGCACTTGTGCATACATGTTTCTGTACAAGCACTGGAGCATACACGAATACATAAATAAAAATTCTTAAATAAGCTTGGCATTTTTGAGAAATAGGAAGGCTGGTATGACTGGAACTAAAGCTAAATGTGGAAGGATGAGGAAGAATCAAGAGAGAAAGATAGGGTTAATTTAAATAGAGGTTTCTTGGTATTTGGTTTTTATGAGGGATATGAGCCTAATGGCTTTAGGTGGGGGGCTGGTGTACTCTCTCTACAATATTGAAAATGGGCTGCACTGGGATAAGAACAGACAGTAAGACTAAAAGCCTAATGAAATGACCATTTCAAAACTGTTGGCTGCTCATGCCATAATAATGGCAGTGAAAGAAAAGTAGTCAGATTCAAAGCATAATCACAAGATGCGAGTCTTGCTGATGTATTAGAAAATGGAGTGTAAGAGAGAAATGAAGGTTGTTGCACCTTGTATCTTCCGAATGTAATTCACTTATTACTTGTCATAATTTTTATGTTGGCAGTGCTAAGGATAAAGAGATACATCGTATGAAGTCATTTTTTTTTCTGTAAGTTGGAAGCAGTTAATTATAGTCTCACCTTATTACACACAGACATTTACACATAAACAAGGTCAGTTTCCCCAAGCACTTCGTAGTTATTAAACTTTAAAAGCTTCATGATAAAATTTAGGAGTTACAACACATACACACCCTGACATGTTTTAAGAAATGAATTTTAACAGCAACACCGCCAACATTTCTAAGCACACACAATGTACCAAGCACTGTTTTCTAAATGTTACAAGAATTACGTCTCATATTTCATAATCCACAATATATGGCTCACAGCTAAGTGGGGGAGCCATGTGTACCCAGCTCTACCTTTTCGGCCTATAAACCGCTACCACGCAGCTGTCTCTAGGACTCAGGTGGTTGTGAGCTCCAAAGAAGGTGTAGGTTGTTATTCACTGTCCTTCTCTTAGGCGATCGTTAAGTATTTACAAATCAATAAATGACTTCTGATTACCGTTATGGCGATTAAAGCCAGAAACCTGGGAAGACACCCAAAACATGCTTTATTTTGCTATATTTTACCAGATCTGTTCTTGGGTGTAGTCTAGTGACTGATTTAGAGCTGTGTGTCGCTGAAGGTCACCGTGAGGGGTAAGCCATATAACCCTCTTTGGTGATTGTCACGGGGGTGTGGGGTACGGTAACGTTCGAGGCAATTAGAAGAACCAGTGTCTGAATGAGGATTTAAGCCTGAGAAAATGAAGGAAATTCCCGGCTTAGCGCTAGGAGAAGGAAACGGATATAAAACGTAGTGACACTTACCCGGGTCCCAGGGCGGCCGCGTTCTTCAGGCACGGGGCTGCAAACACACAAGGCGCAGGTTAGCAAAGCCAAGGTGAAACCCAGCTTTCACCTCGCTCGGTCTCCTCGAGACGCGATCCCTACGGCCCGTGCGTCCCTCTTTGACGTCCCCTTGAGATCCTACACTGTCAGGGAGCTCCTCCGAGCACCCCTCCGCTCAGGCCCAGTCACTGCTGCCCGTTTTTACCCACTTCCCGCCCCCCTGGAACTGAAGGCCTAGCTTCTTCCTAGTCATTCCGACAGGCCAGCTTACGGTCTCCATCTCTCACCCGCTGTGGCGGCGGCAGAAAGCACCACCCGGGACAGCATTGTCTGCCAAGGTCCAGACGGCGGTCTCCGCGTCCCTGTGACCCCGACCCGAGATTGTCAGGGGCAGGAACAAGATGGCCGCTCCCATATCTCGCGAGAAGAGAGCTACTTTACGTCATGCGCGGATTTTTTTTTTTTCCTCGCGAGAAGAGGGGAAAAAAAAAAAAAAAAGAAAGAAGCCTGAAGTCCGGCTGCGCGGAAGAGCAGGCGGAAAAGCAAGCCGCAGAGGTAAGTCTCGCGAGAAGTAGAGCGTAGCCCTTGGAGAGGGGCGGAGGAGCCGAGGTGCACCACGTGGGGAGTTCCTCCAGCGCGAAATCAGGATCTTCCCTAGTTTGGATCTAGGCTGCGTTTGGAATCGTGGAGATGCGGAAGGAAACCCCACCCCCGCTCGTGGTCCCGACGGCCCGCGAGTGGAACCTGCCCCCTAATGCGCCGGCCTGCATGGAACGGCAGTTGGAGGCTGCACGGTACCGGTCTGGTGAGCTGAGATCCCCGGCCTGGAAGCCCCCTTACCCAGCCATGGGTGTCCTTTCCCGGTACCGACCTTCCCAAGGCCGCCAAGCGGCGTGTGTCCTGGCCCTGCCCCGGCCCTGCCCCTCAAACCTCATCTCAGATCCAGACTTCCCGGTTAGGGTTCTGTGCGGTTGCCATAGAAACGAGCGGGCGTTACATCTGACACTTTGTAATCTCCCTCTCCCCCACCGTAGATGGTTCCCTCCTGCTCGGGGCCTCCAGCCTGAGTGGTCGCTGTTGGGCCGGCTCTCTGTGGTTTTTCAAGGATCCGAATGCAGCCCCCAACGAAGGTTTCTGCTCTGCCGGCGTCCAGACCGAGGCTGGAATAGCCGACCTCACTTGGGTAGGGGACAAAGGTATCCTAGTGGCTTCTGATTCAGGTTAGTTACCCAATTCCCTGGAATTGAAGATTTGGATACAGGTTAGGATGGGGGAGGGGGAAGGTAGTTTTTTCTAAGGTTCTAAACTGCCAGGTGGCCAATGTCCAGTCAATTCACACAAAAAATAAAAGAGATTGTAATCTTCTTTTGGTCCCCGGCCAGGCTAGACCAAAGAGAATGTTGATTTGAGAGATGTTGCTGAAGACATTGGGTACTGTCTTCCAGTTTTCATTTATTTATTTAGAGGATGGGTCTCACCATATTGTTCTGGCTGTCCCAGAACTAAGTAGGCCAGGCTGGCCTTGAGCTTACAGAGGTCTTCCTTTTGCTTCTGCCCCCTCTGTGGTGGGATTAAAGGCATGTACAAACATGCCTGGTCCTATTTTCTTTTGCTGTTGTGTGTGTCCTGGGAATTAAACCCAGTCACCTTGCTAGGTAACTGCTCTACCACTGGACAGCCCTTAATTCCACTTTCTTTGAGTATCAGGTTGAGCAATGTAGACTTTGGCAGAAAAAATTTGGGAGGAGATGGAGGGTGACTCTTGGATAAGTTAGGGGTGAATATGATCAAACTAGATTGTATGCACATATGAAATTCTCAGATCAGAGCTGAGAAGTTGGTGGGAGCTGGGTGTAGGTGCTGCCTTAATTCTCAGTAGAAGCAGCCAGAGCTCTGTGAGTTGGAAGCTAACTTAGTCTACATGTTCATTTCTAGGCCAGGCAAAGTTACTTAGGGAGACCCGTCTTAAAAATGAAAATAAAAAGATTTATTTTGGTTCTGGAGAGATGACCTGGAAGTTACAAGTATTGACTTTTTCCAAGGACCCGCGTTGGATTCCTAGAACCCATATGACACTAATAACCATTTGCAACTAGTTTTAGGGGGATCTAGTGCCCTCTTTGTGACCTCCATGGACACTGTATGTTCTTGATGAGTAGACATACATCAAGGCAAAAGACCTATATGCTTAAAGATCTCGTACACACACACACACACACACACACACACACGCACACAGTCTGAAGTTGTTAGGTAGGACATTAGAGACTGAATCTCTGACAGTTGAGTTTGAACATTAAAATATTGCAAGACATTTATTCAAGCAGTCTAATTAACTATTTACTGCTGTTTGCATAACTGCATCACTGAACTGTGTTGTGTAAGGCTTTATCTTTGTCTCCCTGGGAACCACTTTTTCAGTATCTTATCTCTGGAAGCAAAATTGTTGATTTTATATCTGTTTACTATCTCTTTCTAGGTGTTTTCCTCACATAGTCATCTGGGCAGTTGTTAGGATAGCTGTAGGGTGATAGAAAACTGAATTGCCTGGAAATTAGCGAAGTCCTTTAATTATGGGGACTTTGCTTTTACAGGAACAACTTTGCGTTAGTAACAGTGTCTGCTTGAATCCTAGGCAGGAATTACTGCTTTGGTATAACCCAGGCTTGTGCTTCCCTTACCTACATTTCATGCCACTCTGTCCCCAACAGGTGCTGTTGAATTGTGGGAGCTAGATGAAAACGAGACACTTATTGTCAGCAAGTTCTGCAAGTATGAACATGATGACATTGTATCTACTGTCACTGTCCTGAGCTCTGGCACACAAGCTGTCAGTGGTAGCAAAGACTTCTGGTGGGTCCCTGTTTTCATTACTCCTATCTTTAGGCTTCCTGTGGATAGCTTTACTATCCTTTTATATTCATTAAGTAATGCTTTTGGCTGATTTGAAAGTCTAGTGAGGAGTGACATGCCTGTTTCCTGTGAGGTTTGGTAGTGCATTGTAAATAAGACAGCAGGAGTCTAGGAAACAGATGGGACATTTGGTCAAGCATGTTCTTGTTTGAGTACATTTTTTTATGTTGATGGTGCAAGTCAGCATTCCAATTTCTTTTTTTTCATTGTAGCATCAAAATTTGGGATCTGGCTCAGCAGATGTCACTGAATTCATACCGAGGTAAATATTCCTTTTTTGAGCAGTCCTGGCTATAGCTATCTTTTATTTTCTCCTTTAGGATATTTGAACTTTGTTTGGAATAATAATAGTAGCAAGTCTGTTCTCTTGACTGGCCTCTCCTTACTCCCAGACTGCAGTGAGCTTCCATTATCTACCACCTGTTCTTTTTTCCATCTGTTCTTGTTTCTGTTGATAGTTTCACAGCCTTTTGACTACATGGGTGTCTTAGTTATTGTTCTATTGCTATGAAACAGTATTATGATCAAGGTAACTTATAGGAAAAAGCACTTATTTGAGCGCTTACTTACAGTTTCAAAGGGTTAGTCCATGACTGTCATGGCGAGGAGCATGGGGGGCAGTAAGCAGACATGGTGCTGGAGCAGTAGCCGAGAGCTTACATTCTAGTTCACAAGCATGTGGCATGAAGCCTGGGCCTGGTGTGGGCTTTTGAAACCTCAAAGCCCATTCTCAGTGACACACCTCTCAATCCTTCCTAAATAGTCCACCAATTAGGAGCCAAACATTTTAAATATATGAGCCTGTGGGGGCCATTCTCATTCAAACCAGCAGTGGGCCAGCAGCCTCTATCCTCTTATTCTCAGAGTTCATCAGGTACTTTCTAGTCTCCATTTGGACAGTCCCTTACATTTCATTTACCATCAGGCTTTAGCGTTAGACAGTCACACTCATATCTTTACCTGTAATCCTTGACTCTTCGTTCTTCATTGGTTTCTTGTAGCCTACAGATCAAGATCCTTTTTTTCTTGTCAGCATTCAAGCCTCCTTATGGCAGTAAGCTGTGCACCATCTTAACCCACAGTAGAGCCTTCTGGTTTCAAAGGATAAGCTCTGAGACTTGTGTGTGTATGTGGGTATGCACATCTGTATGGAGGCCAAAGGTCAACTTTGGAGGTGTCTGCTTTGTTTTTTGAGACTGATTCTCACTAGAACGTGAAGCTCACAGATGAGGCTAGGCCGACCAGCCAGGGAGCCACATAAGGATTCATTTGTCTCTGCCTCTCCAGTGCTGGGATTATAAGCAAGTGCCACCATACATGGCTTTTGACATGGACTCTGGGTTCAAGTCAGTCTTCATGCTGGTGTGGAAAACACTTACTGGTTGGGCCCTTTCTTTTGCCCAAGAATTTTGAATTTAACTGTTGAATTTTCACCTCTCCTGTAAAATATCTTTTTGGGACATTTCATCACTCTAATATTCCTTCTGCTCTGCTTCATTAACAGAACTAGGAGTTGGCTTTATTTTGGTAGCAATTCTTTATGAATTTTGAATTCATGAAGATGGATTCTAGACTGACAATAGCAGAATGGAGGGCGATTTAGGCAGATCCATTTGGTTATGCTTGAAGGGCAGATTAAATGACCTCAGTGATTTCAGCCTCTAGCTAATTTGTAGTAATGACTCTTATTTATGTCTCTGCCTTTTTCATTGATTTCTCTATTTATGTATTTATTGCTCATAGGCCTCCCAAAAGAATTTAAAAGCTATACTTTTCTGTACATTTTAAAGTTGTTAACAAAAAAAAATGTGGGCGGGCAAGCAAGATGGCTAGATGGCTTGGTGGGTAAAGGTACTTGCTGCCAAGCCTGTAGACCTGTGTTTGTTCTTTGGAATACACTTAGTAGAACACAACTGACTGCTGCAAGCTTTCCTCTGACCTCCATGTATGTGCTATTGCACATGTACACACACATGCATTTAATATATGAATAGTTTTTTAAAAATTTAGGTGGTTGCCAAGAAGTTAATTTTTTTTTGCATATCATGTATTATATTTTCTAAACCTGTTTTTTTTTTTTTTTTTTTTAGAAGTCTAACCTATTTATAGAAACTGTTTACAAACAGCCAAATGACAAAAACCTTATGACTGCAACTGTCTTATTTTTTAGTTCTGTTAGAAACAGAGAGGCGAGCCATGGGGCCACCCTTGTATTTGTGGGGTGACTGAAACAGGTTCACTCTGTCCACTGAGTTCTTGCCAGGTGCCCCTTTGCTGTTTTGCTCTTGGTTTGAGAGAGCTTGGGTTTCCAGGCTGGCATGGGAAGACCTGGGCTGTAGGGAGGTGTGGGGTCTGCCTGGAAAGTGGGAGAAGGGTGATGGGAAAGCACATTTGAAAACTTGCTTGACTTAAAACAACACCAGAACTCACTACTTAGAGGTCTGTTAATACGGACATGGTTAGTAAGCCTCTTTCTTGATGACATCTATAATGCAAACGCCTTCTCTTTTACTAAGACTGTAATTGAGTGTTGTTGTCTTTATCAGTTCATTATTTCTGCTAGCCTTTTCAGGTTTTATAACTCATCAACATTTCCTTTATAATCTGTCATATTATTAAGTTACATGATGAAGCAAACCTGTTTCTCACATTCCCTTTTCTCTGCCATGTTTCTCCTTTACAGCTCATGCGGGACAGGTCACCTGTGTTGCTGCCTCTCCCCACAAAGAGTCTGTGTTTCTTTCATGCAGTGAGGTGAGATCCAGTGACTTCTTTTCAACCACAGCTAAAATTTAATAAGCCCAATTACTGACCAGTAGCTGTTGTTTTGGATTATGAGACCCTTTTTCTATTCCTCTTCCTAGGACAGTAGAATTTTGCTCTGGGATACCCGCTGCCCCAAGCCAGCGTCACAATTAGGTGAGTCTGAGATAAGTGGTGAGTAGAGAGTGGTAATGGGAACCTACTTGGAAGAGGCTTTTGTTAACCAGAGTCAGAGCAGAATTGCCAGATGCCCACCGACTGAGATACAACTGACACCATGTTCTATTTCATTCAGTCACTCACCATAGTGCAGCAAATACCAAGAGCTTCTGGGTGGGTGGTTTACTCTACATATAGCTGGACAAAAGGGATAGGGTTATTATGTGTATGCTTTATCCTTTAACTGTGTACCCACAGGAGATTGATGGATAGATAGGTGAAGACATGCATGACTGCTGTAGCAGCATTTAAGAAACCCAGTGAAAGTGTTCCCAGGACTTAGTGACTTCTTTTGAAAGACTGCTTTTGAGGTTGTGACTTTTGTTCCAAACCTCCCTTTCTCCCTTCCAGGCTGCAGTGACTCTGGCTACCTCCCTACCTCCCTGGCTTGGCATCCTCAACAGAGCGAAGTCTTTGTCTTTGGTAAGGCAGCATGACATATTGACTTGGGAATGGGGAGGATGATAAAGTGCTCTTGTCATCACACTTGGGCACCACACAAATTGTAGTTTTATTTAGCTCTGGAGAACATTTTTCCCTTGTGGATTTGATTCCTCATTGTTACAGCTCCTCTATTCTGGACATGGTTAGAAATCAGTGGGCTAGCTAGGTAGCAAGTGCTTGCTGTTAGGAATTATATTCTACTATATGACTGCGTATGGTAATAGCTTATAGTTAAAGTAATAACTTTATCTAGTAATTGTCACAGCCACACAGTGACTTACTGATTCAACATTGCAAAGGGAAACTGTTGCTCAGGGTGATAAACTTGTCGACATTTTGAGGAACTAGGATTCATTCAAATCCAGGTCTGGCTGACATCAAAGTTTTTTTTTTATTTTCCAAGACAGGGTCTATCTAGTCTATATAGTTTGAGCTGTCCTGGAAGCTTGATATATAGACCAGGCTGGTCTTGAACTCAGAGATCCTCCTGTTTCTGCCTTCCACATGCTAGGATTAAAATGCCCAGCCCAAAGCTGTGATATGCTCTGTTTCTTCTACAGGTGATGAGAATGGATCTGTGTCCCTTGTGGACACCAAGAATGTAAGCTGTACCCTGAGCTCAGCTGTGCATTCCCAGTGTGTCACTAGACTGGTATTCTCTCCACACAGGTACTGTTTATCACTAGGGACCTGGAAAGGATGGGTGGGGATATAGTGAAGGAATGGGAATGGAGTGATAGAGGGATGTATCTATTGGCAAGCATTAGCTGGTTACATTGATCCTTAGATGGGATGGTATTCAAGCTTGGTTTTTCTTTTTCTTTTTTTTCTTCATTTTTTTGTTTAATTCTTTATTAATTACTCTTTATTCACTTTATATCCCCTCTGTGGTTCCCTCCCTCCTCCTGTCCCAATCCCTCCCTTCTTTCACCCTCTGCATGCATGTCCTTCCCCAAGTCAAGCTTGGTTTTTCTAAACTAGTCGTTGTAGTCCTTATTAAGTTGGTATAGTCTGAAAAGAGCTGAAATGTGATCTCATTCCTGTTCAACACAGCCTGATTAATGTTGTAGGCTTCTGGCACAGGATGGTTGAGGAGCCTGTGATTCTGGCTAATTGCTAATGTAGAGAGGGACAAATTGGAGTGGATGGTTTCTGTGAGCCCTGGCTCTGTTACATTGTCTTATCTCTCCTTAGGATTGCAATGTCAGTAAGCCTTTAGCCCAGAGTGGGCTGCCTTCTTCCCTAACTCAGTTTTGGGGCTGGCTCAGTCAGATTTTGGTTATGGAATCCATAGGTTTTATCTTCTCTTCCCTTTGTGTCCTCTCCTAGTGTTCCCTTCCTGGTCTCTCTCAGTGAAGACTGCTCACTTGCTGTGTTGGATTCAAGCCTTTCTGAGGTGTAAGTTTGAAGTATTATCCTGTGGTCAGGAATCAGGGATCAAAGACGAGTGGGCAAGCAGGTCTGTTTTCTTTCAGAAACATGCATGCAGAACTCTTCCTTTATTATGTCTGGAGAAACGGCTCAGCAGTTAAGAACACTTTCTTTGTGTTCTCAGCATCCACATGAGTGTGCCCACGGATGTCTATAATGATGCCTCTAGCTTTTGTGGGCATCTGCACACACCCACATGGAGATACACACAATTTTTTAAAAAAGTAAATATAAGAAAATACTCCACCTTTGTCTGCAGTTATCTCCACCCCCCCCCCCAAAAAAAAAATTCTTGCTAATTGTGTCTGTGTGTCTGCAGAGACTGAGTGCTGGAGGCAGTCTGAGTCTAAGTCTAGCTATCATTCCAGCTTCACGCAGGGAAGTGGACCCTGTTGTAGAGTAAAAGGCACTGGGCGGAACACCTGCGTGTGCGTCCCTCTTTTCCATCATTTTCTGCTTGACTGAATATATCACTTCTTTGCTCTGTCTACCATTTTTCCACCTCAGAAAGTAGACTGGACCAGATAATTGAACATTCACTGTCCTGGTAATGAGGCTGTTCAGATGGTGAAATGTTTCAAAAAATATGTCCTGAGTATGTTGGATTTCCTTTCATATGTCTGCCTATGTTTTGTCTTGTCTCTTACCCCCTGCCCCCGTTTTTCTCCTTTTCTTCTAGGTTTAGAAGTCGAGCACACAGAGACTTTGTGAGAGATGCTACGTGGTCTCCACTCAATCACTCCCTTGTTACCACAGTTGGCTGGGACCATCAGGTCCTCCATCATATTGTGCCCCTGGAGCCTCTTGCAGCCCCTGGACCTGAGCTTGTTGTGGAGTAGAATGGATTTCAGAAAAAAAAAGCAAGCCCTCCACCTACAAGAGTCTACTTGCTTGCCCCTGCCTTCTGTTTATGAGAGCACCGGAGCCTTGTAGAGCATGTTTACTCCCTAGTCCCGTGCAGTAAATAGGCAGATGCTCAGCCTGAGGGAGGCTGCATCCCATAGTGACTCAAGGAAAGCCTTCCTTCGTAGACGGATGTATGTGTGAGAGCACCTGTGTATGAGTGTGTTGTGTAGCTTGGATGGGGAAATTACCCTTCAGCTCTCCCAAAGCAATGCTCTTTACCCTGAACAAAGTGACCAGAGGGTTTTGTGCTTCCCGTATCTGGGAATTGGCTGTGTTGTTTGGAATATGGATTGTGAGTATCCCTGGATTGATGGGAATACTTCACACTACTCAGAGATGGGGTAACTTATTTTTATATAGAATTTAATTCATTTTATTATTCAGTTATGGGAAATACTTACACAAAAGTCTAGCCCTGTGTACGGTAAGAAGACACACAGGACATACAGGATTTATATTTTATATAAATCCCTATTAAAACGAATCACTCATTTTCTGGTGAATAAATTTGGCTGTCATAGTGTAGTACTTGCTCACCCCTTTCCCTCCTCAGTGTCGTGTGTGAGAGAGATGAATGTTTTCCTGTCCTAGATTTCACAGAAAAGTTCTAGGAATGATGGAACACTTAGAGATGTTTTAGTGAGGCGTCTGTATCTTTTTTTTTTTTTTTATCTAAAGATGCCCTGAGGCCTGATTCCCCTTGGGCACCTTCCTCTGGAGTTACGAAGTTTGAATGCTGTATTCGTGGACTCTTAAGGTTTGAGATCAGCATCAGGGAAACTTGGAAATACTGAAAGGTGAAATAAAGACTCCGTCGTTAACATCCCCCTCTTTTTCTTTCTGCAAAGCCGTTATTTATTGCCTGCTTTGCTTAGGTGAGTCACCAGAATGACGGTCTTAACTGCCCACTAGCTTTATATTCTACCATTCCCAGAGTACTTACTTAGAATTTAAATGTTTATTTACATTTGGCATTGGTGGACCAGCCACTCTGAGTTTATGGATTAGTAGCTGAAGTTACTGAAGCTTTCCAACTTATTCTTGCTAGTCATGAGCCTCTTTTGTGATTATCCCTAAGAATTTGCAGTCATGGTCACCTGGGACCATGTGTGGAGGTAAGCTTGTTCTTAAGTTCCTGAGAAGGAATAAAGTAGGTGGAATCAGTTTCTGTTTCTCAGAGATAAAGCTTGTGCTTTGTGATCACTTAGGGAAGAAGGGCAGAAGTGCATTTACATGGCCTGCTTTTTGAGCTTAAGACGATTAATAAAGTATGTTAGAATGGCTGAAATGACACCAAAGAAAAACAAGTTTTTGAAGAACCATATTTTCATTAAGTGGGATGGATAGCTGGGTGTGGTGGCATGCATTTCCATTACTCAGGGAGGCAGAGGCAGACATCTCTTGAGTTCGAGGCCAGCCTAGTCTATAGTGAGTCCAGGACAGCCAAGGCTTCACAAAGAAACCCTGTTTTGAAGCCAAAAAAAAAGTGGATAGGCGCATTTGCTGCTCTTCTAGAGAACCAAACTTTGATTGCCAAGTTCACAATCACCTTAACTCCAGATCAGTTTGCCTCTGACCTCCATAGATACCGTTATTCCACATGGACATAAAAATTTTAAATGTTTTCCTTCAGGTACGTGTGCGTATTGGCAAAATTCACTCGTTATAGGTATACAACCTAGTCAAAGCCATGAGTAATGACAAACAATTTTGGATGATTGTACAGTCTATACAAGATGAAAGATCTCAAAATCAAGAAAAGATGACTAGTTACAGCAGGTCATTGTCTTGGGAATGGTTCTAGTACTGCAAGCCCCAGTGATGGAACAGTAGGATGTTTTGCTTCCTGAAAAGCATTTTGTTTTCTTCAGGTTGGTGTTAACTATTGTCTGAACAAGAGTGAATACATGTCCTTAGCCTTGCTATTCATACAAAAGCCCAATAGCCTCACCACGGTTGAACCGCTGACCTCTGGCCCAGCAAGGTCTGAAACTTGTTCCTAGAGTGTTGTGTGTTTTGGACAAACAACACTGAAGGTCTGTATAGTCTCAGAAAACATCAGATATTATTGATTCTCTAGGTATCACACTCTATAGAACAGATGGTTCTTGGTTCTTTAGTAAAGGGCTATATGGACATTTCTTGTGTCTCTTTGTCTCAGCTTCAAAAGTACACAGTCATGGTCAGTAGGTTGCTCAGTGGGTAAAAGTGCTTGATGTCAAGCATGATGACCTGAGTTCAATCCATGCAGTGAAAGGACAGTACTGACTGCAGTTTGCCCTCTGTGCATATATATGCACATAAGTAAAAATTTAAAATTGCCCAAACTCCAAATTGCTTTGGGTTTATATTTTATGGAGTATATAGTATGTAAGGAAGGTCACGATATTGAGGAAGAGGCCTTGTATTCTAAAATTGACCAACTAAATATGGTACCATAACATTGTTTCTAGACAGTAGAGTAAAGAGCCTTGGATTTTGAAAGGTAGTATGTTTGGACAGAATGCGTAATGTTTTTTGTGTTTTCATTGTTTGGCCTTGCTTTGAGTCCACAAATGTGAATAAAAATAAAACCACCTTTTATTTGTGTGTATTGTGAAGGCTTTAAAGCATCTTAATAGAGTCCATGTGTGGAAGAAGCTAAAGAGAATTTGTATCTCACCAGAGTTTGTAATGAGCTGCTTATTGCCAATATGAATAATAAGGGGAGGGGGTCAATAACCAGGAAATTACTTTTGTTTGGGAAAGGCTGAAAGAACTCCAGTCTCAATCTCAAGAACTTTCAACTGTAGTCTACGTAATACTGTTGGAAAGTAAACAAGGTAAGTAGACTACTGTTGAGCATCCAAACACATTTCCTCATGAGGCTTTTCCATGACTTGGAATTTGGACTTCTGTATGGGAGCCTGGGTGTTTTTAGTGTGTGGTCATAGGACAGGTACACCCAAAGAGGCTGAAGGAAAACAACTTCTGGAAGGGAGGAATAACTGTTAAGTTACACTGAACATAATGCATGATCTGACAGTCTTTGCTTATGCTTAATGTGGTCCTCCATGTACTGTGGAATACTTAAATGATATTCTGCTGTTCTGTGTGTAAGGAATGAACTGGCAAAATTCAGTAGCTCAGTAAATAGAGTTTAGTCCCTAAAATACAGTTCTGGTGGGAGCCAGCCAGAATCATTGTTTGAAAAGTCACTGAGCTTTGTCCCTGTGACAAGCATTTTGTTTTGGAGGCCTTGTGCTAAAAGCATTAAAGAGTTAGTTTCAACTGAAAAATTTCCACTCTGCTATAATTCTCACCTGGATTCTCAGTGATACAGTGAAGATTGTATTTGAGAATATGTTTAACATCTACAGGCAAAATTAGCTTCAGTTCTGCAGTCTACAATTTATCAGAACTCATTTGACAGTGGCCAGACTTAGAAACATTAAATTGTGTGCACTTGGTTACCTGAATGTCTATTTTCTCATTCCAAAGGCTGACTACTAAACTCTTGAATGTGTAGCTACAGAGGTAGCCGTGGGTCTTTCAGTAAAGAGCTCCCATGATCATCCTGGGCTATTAGGGCCTGTCTCTAAAATAAGAAACCTGAAACAATTAACTTTTAAAACCCGGTGTTATAAAAGTCTTGAGCAGTGACCTGCCCTCAAACATGTAAGAGTAAAAAACAACATGAATTGTGAAAACATTGCTTTATATGATAATGCACATTTTCTAATAAAACAAACATTTAATATGAAGATAAAAAGGTAAATTTTCATGATTAACAATCATAACTAATATTGTAAAACAGACTTCACTTTAAAGTTAAGGCCACTGGCTAGGAAGTGCTTATTCAGTTTTACTGTGAAATGTCAATATTTGAAATCTATCATTCACACAGCTGATTTAAACATGCTTCCACAACTCATCCATAGTGTCAAAGTTTTAGTCAAATGTTTTGATGAAACCAAAGCACTTTCTCATCTGTGTTCCTGCCTTCATCTCAAAATATGAAATATGGGAGGGGTCATGCAGCTTTGGAGAATTTTTCAGTTATTTAAGTAAGATAAATTAGTAAATATATTTTCCTATAAGAATAGGCTAAGCACTAAGAAATATTTTCTAAATATCAGTAGATGTATCACATAAGCATTGGCTTTTTTTTTTCCTCCAAGAACTGAAGGAATAAGATTGTGAACAACAAATGGACCCAGAACATTGATTTTTAATGTTATCCCCTTCCCCGTGTGACTGTTTATTAACCAGTAGGCATACAGAGTCAGGGTTGCCAGCTTTTTGTCATGGTCATCCCTGAATTAGAGGTCGTTTCTGGTGTCCATTGTTCTGTCTTGGCTTTCTCAGCACTGTATCCTCCTGAGCATGTGCAGAGCTCCGGTACAGATTGGCAGGCAAGCTACACTGACATTGCTCCTGGCAGGAGTGTCGTGGGCCAACTCAGTCATGCAGAAAGTCTTGAGAGTCAGGAGGAACAAACAATAAAGAAGGCTCAGAAATAAAAATCAACATTTTATATCAGGGTCTTAAAAGGGAACATTAGAGCCTCAGGCAATGAGTTAGAGGAAGCCTGACATGACTAAGGCCCCAGAAACCAACTGTAATGCCAATAGTTTATAGATGAGGTTGCAAAGTTGTAGATTCAATAACAAGAATTAGGGCACATGGATAGTGACTGGGAAGCAAAAGAAGCATGGCTCTTAGAGTGAGCAAACACCGGGGGCCATTAAATGAATGGTACAAGTTGTTTCCAAGCCTTGGGAGGCTTGCTGATCTGATTCAGATTAACAGTAGCCCAGGGAATGAAAGGTACATAAAGCATATAAATAGGACTCAGTGCTATCACCCCAGAGATGATAACAGTGCAGGAAGGAGCTCTCTGGTCTGCGCCCATCAATTGTTGCTTCTCCAAGGCACACATGCACACACCACACAACCTAAAACAAAACATTCTACATCATTTGTCTTTGTTCTTTGATTTATAAATAACTACTGGTTTGAAAGTTTAGAGTTTTTTGCTTATTTTATTTCACAAATGAATAACAGATTTGGCTGCTGGGCAAGATGATTTCTCCAAGTCCTCCTTTGTGCTGAGATCTGCTCGGCATCTATTAATGCATATGCAGCAGAATCTGCCTCTGAGAGGGAGGGGACCACACAGTCTGAGGCCATCTGGAACAGGGAAAGAAAACTGATGGATCACAGGAACATCTTGACTTACAGCATTAAAAAAAAGAAAAAAACCTTTGCATTGTTGCATTTTTTTAAAATTGGCTTCTGGGTCTATAATCATATTTATGTTCTTGAGGCCCATGGTTGGCTCATTTACTCTCCCAAATGTTTTCTGACTCTTACAAAGCTTTTTCAGGGTCCTTTTCCCTGTGACCTCCAGGCTCACTTCCCATGCAGGACGACCACTAGCTACTGCTCAAGAGTGCTGCCTCTTGTTGTTTTGATTTGCATTTCCTTGATGGCTAATGAGGTTGAGCATTTCTTTAAGTGTTTCTCTGCCATTCGATATTCCTCTATTGAGAATTCTCTGTTTAGCTCTGTTCTCCATTTTTTAATTGGATTACTTGATTTTTTTGCTGTTTAACTTCTTTAGTTCTTTATATATACTGGATATTAATCCTCTGTCAGATACAGGGTTGGTGAAGATCCTTTCCCAATCTGTAGGCTGTCGTTTTGTTCTGATGACAGTGTTCTTTGCTTTACAGAAGCTTTTCAGTTTCAGGAGGTCCCATTTATTGCTTGTTGCTCTTAGAGCCTGTGCTGTTGGTGTTCTGTTCAGGAAGTTGTCTCCTGTGCCAACGAGTTCAAGGGTATTCCTCACTTTTTCTTCTAAGTGGTTTAGTGTGTGTGGTTTTATGTTGAGATCTTTGATCCACTTGAACTTCAGTTTTGTGCAGGGTGATAAGTATGGATCTATTTTCATTTTTCTACATGTAGATATCCATTTAGACCAGCACCATTTGTTGAAGATGTTGTCTTTTTTCCATTGAATTATTTTGACATCTTTGTCAAAAATCAGGTGTCCATAAGTGTGTGGAGTTATGTCAGGGTCTTCTATTCGATTCCATTGATCCACCATTCTGTTTCTATGCCAGTACCATGCAGTTTTTAGTATTGTTGCTCTATAGTACAGCTTGAGATCAGGGATGGAGATACCTTCTGAAGATCTTTTACTGTAGAGAATTGTTTTAGCAATTTTGGGGTTCTTATTCCATATGAAGGTGAGAGTTTTTCTTTCAACGTCTGTAAAGAATTGTGTTGGTATTTTGATGGGAATTGCATTGAATCTGTAGATTGCTTTTGGTAAGATGACCTTACACCCGTCAGAATGGCTAAGATCAAAAACTCAAGAGACAACACATGCTGGAGAGGTTGTGGAGAAAAGGGAACCCTCTCCCACTGCTGGTGGGAATGTAAACTTGTACAACCACTCTGGAAAGCAATCTGGTGCTTTCTCAGACAACTAGGAATAGCGCTTCCTCAAGATCCAGCTATACCACTCCTAGGCATATACCCAAAAGAGTCTCAAGTACACAATAAGGACATTTGCTCAACCATGTTTGTAGCAGCCTTATTTGTAATAGCCAGAAGCTGGAAACGGCCCAGATGCCCCTCAGTGGAGGAATGGATGCACAAATTGGTATATATACACAATGGAATATTACTCAGCAATAAAAAACAAGGAAATAATGAAATTTCCAGGTAAATGGTCGGATCTGGAAAAGATCATCCTGAGTGAGCTATGCCAGAAGCAGAAAGATGCACATGGTATATACTTACTCATATAGACATATAATATAGGATAAACCTACTGAAATCTGTACACCTAAAGAAACTAATCAAGAGGGAGGACTCTTGCTAAAATGTTCAATTCCTATCCAGAAAGGTAAAGAGGCTGGACATCAGAAGAAGGAGAAAAGAGGGAACAAGTCAGGAGCCTGACACAGAGGACCTCTGAAAGGCTCTGCCCTGCAGACTATCAAGGCAGATGCTGAGACTTATGGGCAACCTTTGGGCAGAGTACAGGGAATCTTATGAAAGAAGTGGGAAACAGTAAGATCTGGAGAGGACAGGAACTCCATAAGGAGAGCAACAGAACCAAAAAGTCTGAGCAGAGGGGTCTTTCCTGAGACTGATATTCTAACCAAGGACTATGCATGGAGATAACCTAAGACCCCTGCACAGATGTAGCCCATGGCAGTTCAGCATTCAAGTGGGTTCCATTGTAATAGGAACAGGGACTGTCTCTGACATGAACTGATTGGCCTGCTCTTTAATTACCTCCCCCTGAGGGGAAAGCAGCATTACCAGGCCACAGAAGAAGACAATGCAATGCAAGACAATCCTGATGAGACCTAATTCACTAGGATCAAAAGGAAGGAAAAGAAGACCTCCCCTATCAGTGGACTTGGGGAGGGGCATGCATGCAGAGGGTGGAGGAAGGCAGGGATTGGGATGGGAGAAGGGAGGGAACCACAGGGGGGATACAAAGTGAATAAAGTGTAATTAATAAAGAATTAAAAAAAAAGAGTGCTGTCTCCTACCATCACAATCTCTTCTGTTTGAAAGGCTTCATGTCAGTGGACAGTGAAAGGTCAGAGGAAGACAGGAGGAAGGACAAGTGCAATAGCTCTCCAATCTGGTTTCACATTAGACACTGGGTGTAAACTCTCACTCTTTGTATCATGTAGAAAGCATGCTGTTTTAGTGTGTTTACCTGTTCACATGAGCGGCCTGTTGAGTGTCAGTATTTTGAGTTTGAGCGTCCTGCTCTTTTGGTCAACTTCCTAATAACACCTGTAATTAATTAATCAATTTATGCAAACCACAGTTTTCACACTATCTTTTTCATCCCTATAAATTCCTTTGGAGCAAGAATGAGCTATTACTTTACGGGAAACAGGCTTTCTTTTATGTGTGGAAGCATCAGAAGCTCAGAAACTCAACCAAAATTACAAAACTTCTAAATGGTAACACAGAAATTGATACTTTTTGGTTGATTGATACCAGAATTGATTCAGGCCCTAAAGCCTGAATCCAAAGCTGAAGTTTTGAAGCTTTGTGCTACATCGCTTCCCTGATAATCTTGTATAGATACACATCACCATGCAGTATTTCTCCTCCACTTCAGCTGTGGGAGCTGGATACCAGGAAATGGAGCCAAGTGCCAGCCAAGGCTCAGGAACACTGCACTTGTCTTTGTTATAGTCTGGGGTGAACACTGCCTCCCTGATAGTGTCAGGTCTGGGATGTGGCTTTGTTGACTCTGAGAACTACAGCTATTCTGGAGAGGGAGTACACGTTTTCTGGGGTCACTGTGACTCTTGAATCACTGTTTCTGGTATGGTGCAAATGTGTAGCGGAGCTGTTCCCATGCTGCATATGGGCCAGCTCCTATTAAAGGGTCTTGAGCTCCATCCCCATAGCTGCGAGATAAGGTGCAAGATGGGGAGGCTGCTGCTGTTGGTTGGTGAGTATGACAGATCCTATCAATGCTGCACAGTCCAGGAGATACCAGTTTGTCATTTCTCTGGTGCCCACTAGAGAAACCTGGGGCTTAAAGAGCCTAGATTAGTGAATTAGCCTTAATAAAGAATCAAAGGCACTCAGGGAGGAAGGGACAGGGCTGTAGGTCTCCAGACTGGTTGTTTTCATGCTTGAGCTTCATCTTGGATCAGTTAGTTCAGAATTTCTGAGGAGAGGGCTGTGATGTGAAGACATTTGAATTTGTAGCCAGAATTGAGAACCACTGGATGAGAGCTTTAGCTTGGACTTCTAACCATCATTGTCCCAATGCAAAGCATATACAGGTATATGCATTGTTTATTAGAAAGAAGGTTAGAGTGCCTCTACCCTGTTAACTTTGGAGAAGAAACCAGTGATTGATGTGTGTCTCTATTTGTGCCTCTGCATGTGTATATGGTACTGGGCTGGAGGGGGCCCTTGCTAACTGGAGGGTGTGGGGGGGCATGAAAACTGTGATATATATATATATATATATATATATATATATATATATATATATATTCCTTCATTTCCTGCAGGGCTGGCTTTTCTGATGAAACACAGTGATGGTAAGGAAACCACCTTCTCCCCTTCAGTGTAGGAAGACTGCTAGGAAATCTCTCTTCAGTGTTTCCTGGACCCCTGCCTGTGATGGCTTTATGGTCATAGGTTACTGAGCCAATACAGTTCAGTGTAGGATGCTGGCCACTTGCTGTCTGTATGTCTCAGTATATGCCAGGATCTAGACTCAAGGCATTCTTTCTTCTCTGAGGCTTCAGCAGCAAGGGCAAGAGATCTGGGTGCCTGCATAAGAGGTCTTAGTGTATGTTTGTGGGAGGTAAGGGGCCTGCTAAAGTAGTTTGGTTTCTTTGGCCTTTGGCTCACTCTACTCTGTAGAAGTTGAGTTCCCTTCTTGCCTCATGATCTTTGCTAACTAATACTTTCTGTCCTTGCCAGGTACTGCCTACAAGCTGGTGTGTTATTTCACCAACTGGGCACATAGTCGGCCAGGCCCTGCCTCCATCTTGCCCCATGACCTGGACCCCTTTCTTTGTACACATCTGATATTTGCCTTTGCCTCAATGAACAACAATCGGATTGTTGCCCAGAATCTTCATGATGAGAATTTTCTCTACCCAGAGTTCAACAAACTCAAGGAGAGGTATATTAGCTGTGCAGTTGGGCTCTCAGATTTTATAGCTAGAAGAAAATTAAGCTTTTTCTTCTCACTCTTAATTTTCCTGATTTTTCTAATCCTACTTTTTTTCAAATGGGGATCTGAGTACTTCCAACCTAGGAGCTCTCTATTGACCAGCCCCTTGAGCTCCTTCTTGCCTTGATGAATTGGTAGTTAATGTTGCCTATTCCTGGCTGCCTTCATACTTTCTCCTGATAAGCTTTGGCTCACCCTTTGAACCCAGTTGTGAGGAATTAATGCTGCTAATCACATATTCTCAACAAATGTTAATGTTTTCGTTACCTCTTGGCACTTGCAACTCCCAAGCTGTGGGTTTTTCAAGGGGAGCTCTCTGAACACTGAATAGTCAGGTCATTGACTGCACAAAGAAGCTGATGCTCAGGAAGTGCTGGCGATTCATGTCCAGAGCCTGTGGGTTCCTTCTCTGCCCAAGGGAAGGTTTAATATATTAACAGAGACTGATGGGCAGGCCAAGCACCCAGCGAGTGGGATGCTTGTCTACATATTTGCTGTTGCATTTCAGGAAGTCCAAGGTGCATAGTCATTTCTCAATGAATATTTATTTGTTGAGTAAAAAAATGTCAAACTTTGGGCAGAGTGCAGGGAATCTTATGAAAGAAGTGGGAAATAGTAAGACCTGGAGAGGACAAGAGCTCCACAAGGACAGCAACAGATACAAAAAGCATGGGCCCAGGGGTCTTTTCTGAAAGTGATACTCCAGCCAGGGACCACTCATGGAGATGGCCTGGAACCCCTGCACAGAGGTAGCCTATGGCAGTTCAGTATCCAAGTGGGCTCCATAGTAATGGGGACAGGGACTGTCTCTGACATAATCTGATTGACCTGCTCTTTGATCACCTCCCCCTGAGGAGGGAGCAGCCTTGCCAGGCCACAGAATAAGACAATGCAACCACTCCTGATGAGACCTGGTCGACTAGAATCAGAGGGAAGGGGGGGAGGACCTCCCTTATCAGTGGACTGGGAGAGGGGCACAGGTGGGGAAGAGGGAGGTTGGGATTGGGAGGGGAGGAGGGGAGGGAAGTACAGGGGGGATACAAAGTGAATAAACTGTAATGAATAAACAGAAAAAGAAAAGAAAAAAATTTAAAAAAATGTGTGACTAGAAACCTTCTAGAGCTCTCTGGAAATATCATGGGGAAGTGGAGGAGCCTGAGTCACTTTATATACTTTTGGTACACAGAGCTGTAATTGTCTTTGGATTGGCTATCTTTTTTTCCTCTCTTTCTGTGATCTCTACATACCTTCTCGCATTCTTTTCTTAGCCCCCACTCCATTTCCCATTGTTTTTCTCATGGGCAAAAGAAAAAGAGTAGTGACTGAAGGTGTCCATAGAGTAGGGACCTCCTTACCTACTTTCTCCCCCACTTTTCAGGAACAGAGAGCTGAAAACACTGCTGTCCATCGGAGGGTGGAACTTCGGCACATCACGGTGAGCTCTTCTGTCACTGTTTTTCACTCTGAGAGGTAGAGTGCTTTCTCTCTGGAAATAGTTTGTGTGTGTGTGTGTGTGTGTGTGTGTGTGTATGTGTGTGTGCATATGCTCCCCATGGGTGTGTGAGGAAGCCAGCTTGGACATAAGGACAGCAAAGCTCATATTGGTACTTTCTTAAGTCCTGGATTCAAGGGACACCTTTCCCCAGAGGGTCATAGGAGGAAAAGAGGGTCTTGAACTTGGTGAGAAAAGAAACAAGGAAACATCAGAGACAATATGGTGCATTCAGGACATGGACTCTAGCATAGTGGCAGAGCACTTGCTAAACACGACCAAGCCCCTGGGTCTGACCCTTGGTACCATCTGAAAACACACTCCAAAAAAAATACAAGACTACTTGGAGACATAAACTTGTAGAAAAAAAATACCAAGAAAAATAAACATCTGACATGAAACTTAGGTCACAAAATGAGTAACAGGTAAAATGGGATACCCACAAATCAATCTCTAGCTCTTTTTGTTGGAGGCAGGAGTTTTGTCTCTGAAGAGAGTTTTATATAGAACAAGAAGAGTAATACCCAAGCCTCACAGGCCCTGAACTTCCCCACTTTGTAGATGGAGCTGGCTGTGATGGAGATAAAGATGCAACAAATGAGGTTTTTGTGCTATTGCAGGACTCACAGCATACGTCCCTCATGCAGTGAGCCCCCGCTCTTATTAGTACCTCCCATCAGAGCTACCATAGGGAAATGATAAACCACCTTCATATTCTCAGAAGAAAAGTTGCCTTGCTTCCTAGCTAAGGTCTGGGCAGAGACTGCTCTCCAGCCTTGGAGGGAGACCTGATAGTCTGGTGTGTGTAGGGTGCCCCTGGTAAAGGACCTCTAGGTGGGATGGAGGATTCCAAGTGTGAGCTGACTGACAACTAGTTCTGTTCAACCCCAGGCCTCATCTCCGCTCCTCTGATTTGCTGTGAGCCTAAAGCCAAGTGAGATCCTATGTGTCTGTATGTACATATGCATGTAAATATATACGTATACGGATCATTTCTTGTGATGTTGCTGTATTTCAAATTATTTGGAAAGGAAAGCAAGAGTCACAAGTATTAAGGAATTTTACAGGTTCCTTCTAGGTGTCCTCACCCGCAAGAGTGCCCAGCTGATTAAGGGCTAATAGACAATGGAACCCAGGTCTGTCTATCTCTAGGTCTAGTTATCTTATAATTGGTTTTCACAACGTTAATCTGGGATTTGCTTAAAGTTCAGCTCCAATAAGTAAGAATTACTCCTATGTGTTTTGCTATGGAAAAGAAAACAAACAAATAAAAAATAAAAAAAAAAGCCAATGAATAAAACAGCCATGAGAGGAAATTGCTCTTGAGAGCACTTTGCCTTTTGTGCCAGCCTAAACTGCCAGATGGGGACACTGATAGGGTCTCAGGGGATGCTGTGACTTTGACGACACTGTTCTTTGCCTTACCCTGGTCTCCCTGCAGGTTCACCACTATGCTGTCCACACTTGCCAACCGTGAAACATTTATTGACTCAGTCATATCCTTCCTGAGAACACATGACTTTGATGGTCTTGACCTCTTCTTCTTGTACCCTGGATTACGAGGCAGCCCCACACATGACCGTTGGAATTTTCTCTTCTTAATTGAAGTAAGGCCAATGCTTCTACTTCTCATTCTGGGTGGATGAATGGCAGAGAGGTACCACAAGATACCACAAGGCCAGGGCAGGAGAACAGAATAGAACAGACTATTCATTTACTGACATTCTCTGGAGCTGCTGGACCCCATTGCCTTGGGGTAGCTGCCCAGTGGCTGACTTTGTCTCCATCTGGATCTTGCCTCAGCTCTGTAGCCTACAGGGATGCTTTCTCTCTGAAGCTTTCTGGCCTTGCTCAGTAAGTGTCAGTCTGTATTCTGTGTTTCCAGCCTGTTTTCCTTCCCTCTGATAACTCCAGTGCCATGTTGGTATGTGTCTGTCTTCCTCATAGTCTTGGGCAGAACCTGTACTTTCTTTCTGTCCCAGACCTGGCTTAAAGAGCTTAAACAATTTCTGGATGAGGCTTTCCCCCTTGACTTTCTTTTTTTTTTTAATTTTGTTTTCCTTCCTAGGAGCTCCAGTTTGCCTTTGAGAAGGAGGCCCTGCTTACCCAGCAGCCACGGCTGCTGCTGTCGGCTGCTGTCTCTGGCATCCCACACATCATCCAAACCTCTTATGATGTGCGCTTTTTAGGAAGGTGAGTGGATGTTGCTCTAGAGTGGCTCAAGCACTGTCTGAGCCCCTGCTTGCTAGTCCCCATGTTAGTGAGGTTCTATAGTAAGGTTCAGGAGTTGAGTGGGGAGCTAATGAGGTATGGGGAGAAGTGGGTATCTTACCCATCCCTGGAATTTTCTTTTAAAAATCAGAACTTGGTGTTGTACTGCTGGCTTATAACACCATTGACACAGTTGGAGTTTTCCTCAGGACCCATTCCTGGAACTCGCTGGTAGAGAAGGCCATGGGGCTGGCCTCTTCCTTCTCTGAGCACAGGAATGGACATACTATATGCAAATAGATGATAGTGTCAAAGGGCAGGTGAGTAGCAAGCAATGCCAAAGAAAGCAACACAGGAATCCCAGTCACTCACATTACAGAGCAGATTTTTTTTTTTTTTTTTACAAATGTTAAAAAAAAGCAGACAAAAATAGGAAGGTCATAGATCTTTCTAGACATGCTGGCTCTGGACTAATTTTCTTGAATCACAATCAAGTATTTCAAGATGAAGAAACTAAGGTTGATGCAGAGAAAGAGAGGACATGATGTCTCTGTGCAATTGCATGAGGGAGAGGTGTCTTCATGTGGGAGGAAAAGTGAGACCCAACAGGAAAGAGAGCTTATTAATGTTAATTGGGTTGCCAGGTAACATTAAGAGAGAGCTGCCTTTGCCTAACTGGGTGATTTTAAGCAAATTTGTTAATCTCAGCTTCTAATTGTTTAACTTTAAATTGTAAAAAGTTGGTTGGATATGATATTGTATTCTTGTGTGTAATCACAGTATCGGGGAGGTAAAGCAAAGAGGAATGTGAGTTTGACATCAGCCTGGGTTACATAGTAGGTTCTAGGTCAGCCTCAGTTATGTGATAAGACACTGTCATAAAATACAGAAAGGAGGGAGGGAAGGAGAGGGAGAGGGGGAGAGAGAGAGAAAGAGAGAGAGAGTCTATTTATGGCATTAGCCGGATTAATTAGATAATCAATATAAACCTTTTCATTCTGACATAAAACATGCTCAGTTAACATGGTCATTATGACCATGGAAGAGCGGTGCCAGTGGTTCCTTGACACACATCCCTTTTACTTTTATGGGCTTGTACTGTGTTTTGATTTCATAATGGTTAATGAAGACCACTGCCAGCACCATGTCAAGCCTGCATGTCTTGTCTGAACTCTTTCTATCTCCATTTATAGTCTCAAGATGCATAGATCTTGATGCACAACTATTTCTAGTCAGCAGTTCATTCCATTTCAAAGTGTCTGGCATATCCTGGGCAGGTTCACAAGAGCGAGAAGATTTGGTGACCTACTATTTAGCTGAATAGTGCTGTGACGATATGAGTTGAGCATTTAGTTAGTCTGACCTTCATATATCCTTTGTTCTTTACAGACGTCTGGATTTCATTAATGTCTTGTCTTATGACTTACATGGAAGTTGGGAGAAGTTTACAGGACACAACAGTCCCCTATTCTCTCTTCCTGAAGACTCCAAATCTTCAGTAAGGAAAGGAAAGGTCTCAGGTGACCCACATTTCCATCCTTGAACTGAGGCCATTGGTGAGGCTGTCTTCTTTCCACCTACAGGCATATGCTATGAATTATTGGAGAAAGCTTGGAGCACCCACAGATAAGCTTATCATGGGCTTCCCCACCTATGGACGTACCTTTCAGCTCATCAAAGCATCTAAGAATGGATTGCAGGCTGCTTCGATGGGACCAGCATCTCCTGGGAAGTACACCAAGCAAGCTGGCTTTTTGGCTTACTTTGAGGTGATGGGATTTGAGAGCTCTGTCTAGTGGTTGGGGTTCCTCCCTCAAGCTGGAACAAGAGCTAGGGTAAGAGCAATGATGGGTGAGAGCTAGACACAGGACAAAGAGATGTTTTTTGTTTGTTTGTTTTGTTTTATTTACGGACAAAGAAAATTCATTGAAAAACATTCTTCCTTTGGAAAGTTGTAGAGTCCTTTGTAAGAGGTAAGAGACCAGGGAGAATATGAATGGAAAGGAAACAGTAAAGAATTTTAAATGTTACATAACTAAATTCACCCTTGGTCTACAGCCTATATAAATAACAGGCCCTTTACACACACACACACGCACACACACACACGCAAAAGTATGTGTAAAGGAAAACCTAGGTTTGAAGAAATGCATTATTTTTGCAGAATATTGACCCTGATTTTCTCTGATGTCATCTGGGTCATCAAGGCTTCCCTGGTCAGGTTTTAAATAAACAGTTTGAAATCTTGATCCTCAGCTTCTTGTCTTTTCCACTCTTCATTGCCAAAGTCTTTGTCAAAACTTGGAATTTGTTGATAAAAAGTTGTGCTTGCCACACTCCATATGATGAAGTCTCCCTTTCAGCCAGTTTTCTCTGAATGAGTGCATGCATGACAGAATCAATAAACAAACAGCTATGGAACATTGTATATGTGCCAAGTGTGGGTGCCTGGTACCACTCAAGCCTTGGAACCTGTCATATGATTTCCATGGAAGTTTCTGTGTGAGAGTGGTTCATAGCATTTTAAATGTTTTCTAAAATGAATCATGTTTCAAAATTCTAAATTTTATATTTTATTTAAAGTGGAATATTTAATTCATTTATATTTCATAAAAGGTTTATGATACATTTTAAATACTGTGTTACTATATAACATTAACAACTATAGTTATAGTTAATAACTAAATTCTCTTGGAAAATGTCAAAGAAAGATTTCATTTCTAATGCATCTTTGACTAAAATATTTACTTTGGAAATAAAAACATTCTTATTTTCTATATCACTTAAAAAAAAGAACATCATAACACAGCACCACCATAGAACCAGCTTCATCACTAGTCCATACTCAGTCCTTTTTTTTAAAAAAAAATATTTATTTATCACAATTTGTTCAATTTGTATCCTAGCTGTTGTCCCTTTCCTTGTTTCCTCCCAATCCCATCCTCCTTCCCTCATCTCCTCCTATGCCCCTCCCCAAGTCCAATGATAGGGGAGGTCCTCCTACCCTTCCATCTGACCCTAGCCTATCAGATCTCATCAGGACTGGCTGCATTGTCTTCCTCTGTGGCCTGGTAAGGCTGATCCCCCTCAGGGAGGGTGATCTAAGAGCCAGCCACTGAGTTCATGTCAGAGATAGCCCCTGTTCCCCTAACTAGGGAAACCACATGGACACTGAGCTTCCATGGGCTGCATCTATGCAGGGGTTCTAGGTTATCTCCATGCATGGTCCTTGGTTGGAGTATCATTCTCAGAAAAGATATAATATAGGATAAATATACTAAAATATGTACACCTAAAGAAGCTAAGCAAGAAGAAGGACCCTGGGTAAGATGGTCAATCCTCTTTCAGAAAGGCAAATGGGATTGATATTGGAAGAAGGTGAAAACAGGGAACAGGGCAGGGGCCTACCACAGAGGGCCTCTGAAAGACTGTATCCAGCAGGGTATTGGAGCACATGCTGAGACTCATAGCCAAACTTTGAGCAGAGTGCAGGGAATCTTAAGAAAGAAGGGGTAGATGAAAGACCTGGAGGGGACAAGAGCTCCACAAGGAAAGCAACAGAATTCAGTCTTTTTTTTTTTTTTTTTATCTCTGCACCCTGTCTCTGACTCCCCGACTCTTTACTGGCAAGTCTAGGATGTCCTCTACTGAAGGTTCTTTCTTTTGTACCCCAGTTCCAGTCCCTCTCCTTTTCTTAACAAAGCTTTTGTTGAACTTTTCCTCTATGCTTAGGGGAAATGGGCAGGTACCCAAGGGAATGCATGGTAGGAGGAGACAATAAGATCATAGGATTATGGGATCTAGGAAAGCCTCATATAGCAGGTAAAGTCTAAGTAGACTTTAAAGCGCAGAGAATCTTGGGGGTAATAGAGGACAGCATGGTGCCAGATGGCGAGTTATAGCCTTTCCTTATGGAGGAGTGGAGATGCTGTGTGTGCTGCCAGGCTCTTCTTTGTGTTGGATCGTTGGAAATACTGTTCTGCTTATCTCGTGAAGCATGGTTGTGTGTGGTGTTGTAGTTGAAAGAATGTATTTTAAGGTCATGATAGGTTAACACTCAACACCTTCGAAGTATAACCAGTTAAGCTTTAAAGTATAACCAACCAACCAATAACCCAACAACAAACTTCACAAGGAAGGACAAAGATGTTAACTTCTGCAACACAGAGTGAGCATCTGTACTTCTCTGTAATATTCAGTTTCTAGTACAATGCTGGAAATTCAGTGGACTCTCAAGAGCATGGTGAGTTGTAACAACCTAGTTTGTCCTGCCTTTGAGACCTTTAGATGTGGAAGTTCAGATGCTAGTTGGATGGTAACCTAGACAGGGCAGCCTTCACCTGAGCTCTAACGAACACAGGAGAGGGTTGTTTATAAAGACAGATGCAGGCCTGGTCGCTGGTTGGGTTTATTTGTCTTAGTGTTGTGGTGCTGGTGTTATTTACTAAGCCCTGATTTTGTTTCTGGTCTTTTTTTTTTTTTTAAATTAGGTTTCTCTCTCTCTCTCTCTCTCTCTCTCTCTCTCTTACTATAAACACTAGAGGAAGGGCCATACAACAGAAGGAACAAAGTCAATATGTAGAGGAAGTCCTTTGAGGACTTTTTTCTTGCTCACTGTTTGGTTTCCTGTCTCAGGTCCTGGTGAGAGGCTTTTTCTGAATACTTTCTCCTGAGACAAGAAGCAACTGTATATCCTGGTGCTTCTTTTCAGGGCAAATGCCCTCACATCGAACTCACATGTTTCCTCCTGGCAGGTCTGTTCCTTTGTCCAGAGAGCAAAAAAGCACTGGATTGATCATCAATTTGTCCCATATGCCTACAACGAGAAAGAGTGGCTTGGCTATGATGACACTGTCAGCTTCCATCACAAGGTGAGATACTTGTTTTTCCTGGTCCAGTATCCAGATTCTCACTATTTTTGATGTAACTCTCCTCTATGTTCTCTCTCTCTCTCTCTTTCGCTCTCTCTCTCTCTCTCTCTCTCTCTCTCTCACACACACACACACACACACACTCACTCTCTGTCTGTTTCTTTGTGTTCCTGTGCTTATGCACACAAGTGTCTATTTCACTAAGCATCCACAACTATTACTGATAGGTAGCAGGAATGAGGAAAGTTCAAGAAGGTTTCCTGAGAAAGATAGGAGCAGGAGGAGAAGATAACTTTTGAGAGAGGCTCACTGGGATAGATAGACTCTTGCTAGAGGTTTAAAGGAAAATTTGGGTAGGACAGGGTATTTCTGAGGAGGGGGAGGTCTAAAATACTAGTGAGAGACTTTAATTCTTCAAGAAGAGTTTCTGAGCTGGTATATGGACTTGAAATTTGGAAGCTTTTGGGAGCCTAACTGACCATTCCTTTCCCCAGTGTAAGTGGTAAAAATAAAGTAGAGGCTGACAGGTGTATGTGTGTGTGTGTGTGTGCACGCACATGTGGAGGTGAAAGGTACCCGTGTCAGGTGTCATCCTTAATTTCTCTTCATCTTCTTCTTTTTTTAATTAAATTTTTATTTTTAAAATATTAGTTACAGTTTATTAACTTTGTATCCCAGCTGTATCCTGCTCCCTCATTCCTTCCAATCTCACCCTCCCTCCCTCATCTTTTCCCTACCCCTTTTTAAGTCCACTGATAGGGGAGGACCTCCTCCCCTTTCATCTGATTCTAGCTTGGCAGGTATCTTCAGGACTGGCTGCAAAACCCTCCTAGCAGGGCTGCTCCTTCCTCGGGTGGTGGTGGTGGGGAAGAGGTCAAAGAGCCAGCCATTGAGTTCATGTCAGAAATAATCCCTGTTTCCCTTACTAGGGTACCCACTTGGATACTGAGCTACCATGGGCTACATCTGAGCAGGGGTTTTAGGTTATCTCCATACAATGTCCTTGGTTGGAGATACAGTCTCAGAAAAGACCCCTGTGCCCAGATATATTTGGTCCTTGTGGAGCTCCTGTCTTCTCCAGGTCATACTAACTCCCCCTTCTTTCATATGATTCCCTGTACTCTGCCAAAGGTTTGGTTATGAGTCTCAGCATCTGCTTTGATACACTGCTAGGTAGAGACTTTCAGAGGCCCTCTGTGGTAGGCTCCTGTCCTGTTACTTGTTTTCTCCTACTTCCAATGTCTATCCCATTTGTCTTTCTAAGTGAGGATTGATCATCTTACCCCAAGTTCTCTTTCTTGTTTAGCTTCTTTAGGTGTACAGATTTTAGTATGTTTACCCTATCTTATAGGTCTAGTACCCACTTATAAGTGAGTTCATACAGTGTGTGTCTTTCTCCGTTTGAACCTGAAGTTCAGCTAGACTGGTTGGTTAGCAAGCCCCAGGGATCTTTTTGCCTCCGCCTTCCCAGCTTTGGGATTACAGGCATATACTGCTATACTTAGCTTTTTAAATGTGGGTTCTAGGGATTGAACTCATGTCCTCAGGCTTACACAGCAGGTATTTTACCAACTGAGCCATATCACCGGCCCTGAGTCTGGCAGGTTTTCATAGAAAATTCAAACAGAAGCTTCATGATCCAGTTGTCTCCAAATCTGCCTTTGCTTTGGTAATTCTGAGAGACTTAATAAATGGAAATTCTCAGCCTATCCTACTGTCAGTAGGTATTTCAAAAGTCTAATTTGAGTATGTCTTCACATGTGATCTTGCTATAGAAATTTGCAATTTTGGAAACTCTAAGGGACAAGGGAGGATCCAGGTATAAGATAGTAAGGGTCTGGACCAGGAGTTTTGGAGGAATGATAGATTGTGAGTATTGACAACTGTTGGATATTAGGTTTAGGTGTAGAGAGGATTCACAGTTCTTTTGTAGGTGATAGAAGTGGCAGGTGTTGGCTGTTCTTTGTGGGGACAGTTTGGGGTGAAAAGCACTTGTGATAGTGGAACACTAGTGATGTTTCACTGTGTATTTGTATGTTTAACTCAAGAAGAGAGAAATGCTTCCAGCTACTATGACCTTACTCTAGTTTGGGAATGAAAGATACAGACAAGATGACTCAATTGAAACAGCAAATCAGATGGACTTAAATATGAGTCTCAGAACATCAGACAGAAGATCTCACCTGCTCCTGCCATGTGCTGTGGGGAGGCTCTGGGACCAGTAGCAGACAGGGGACTTGAATGGGGCATTATTGAACCTTGATCAGCTAGAGTTAGAAGACATGAGCCTGGTGATAGGATGATTATATCATTTTTGTGAGAGAATATCAGAGCAGAAAGAAACCCTGGATGTTTTAGTACTCCTGCATCGGGCAGGCCAGTTTGTAAGGAAATCAGGAAATTATGCTAAAAGAGAAAGCTGCCTTTTAACTTTCTTCCAGAGCCCAAAGACCATTACCTCCCATCTCAGCATCACCCCCCTCATGGTGTTTAGACATAAACAGAATGGATGGTTCATTCCATTGAAGATCTGGTTCTCTCCTCATGTAGGGGGAAGGCAAGTAGTTCAGCCATTTTGTATGAGCCCCACATTTCAAAGGAACCCCCCAAAACCTTATTGATATTGTAGTGTATAGGCATTCTTTTGGCCTCCCAAAATATTGGAAATATTTATTTTTCTTGAATGAGGTTGCCAAGGAAGGTAAGAGTCATATAAAATTTCTAAGATTCCATAGCTAATGAGAAGTAGAGGCTAGAGTCCAGTGCAGATTACAATCATATGTGCCCTCCTTCATTGTCTTCTGCAGGTTTGCTCATCTTCTGCTTTTCCACACTGTACCAGACTATGGGGTGGGTAGTAATTGACTGTTACTCTTACAGGCAATGTTTGTGAAAAAAGAACATTTTGGAGGGGCCATGGTGTGGACACTGGATATGGATGATGTCAAGGGCACTTTCTGTGGCAATGGCCCTTTCCCCCTTGTCCATGTATTGAATGAGCTCTTGGTGAAGGCAGGTAAGTAGTTAGTGCCTGGAAGCCAGGCTTGTAAGTCGTAGAACCAGACACTGGTGGGTCCGTTCTGCCAGGACTAACTTTTTTTTAACTTGACATTGAAAAAAGCAAACTTGACCTCTTTGAGCTTTCATTGCCATTGCCTTATCTGAAAGTGAAATCTCAGACTCATGACATTACTCTAAGAACTAAATGAGATATTGGATGAACATCATACTGTTTCATAGTTAACATTCAATTCTATTTGTTTTTTTTTTTTTTCTTCTTATTTAATGGGCAAGGGACTAGATGGGACTAGAGCCTTAAACTGGCTCTAACCTACTTGTTTACAATTTGCTGTCCAGATGAGTCTCCTGACCTCAGCTTTGTTCTGACACCTCCTCCAATGTGGTGTACTGACAGCTTCTCTTTGAGGTGTCAACAGCAAATTAGGCCTTGAACAACAGGTCTGCATTGGGCAGACTGAGGGAGGTTAAATGATGATTTAAACATTGGGAACTAAGAGCCTTCCTTGAATTAGGCACCAGAAATGCAGCAAATCCACAGATGTCCCACACTTTGGGCCTGTGCTAACACCTTAGGGTAGGGGAACAGAGCATCTGTGTGGTGGGGTTTTTATCTTCTCCCTCTGGGAAGTAAATCATGAAATCCTTCAATGATGGGTTTTTGGATCAGGTTCCTCAGCTTTGGGATGGATTTAGGGTTGTTGGGCATTAATAAGAAAGGAAAGAAGAGGTAGAAATCTTACCTTTATTTTTCTGATGATTTTTCTCCAGAATTCAACTCAACCCCTCTGCCACAATTTGGGTTTACATCGTCTGTGAATTCCTCAGGACCTGGTTCTGAGAGTCTGGCTGTGACAAAGGCATTGACCACTGATACTATAAAGATTTTTCCTCCAGGAGGAGAGGTTATGTTCACTGATGTCAATAGAAAGCATGAAAACATGACTATAATCTCCAATGGTGGATTTATGACCCCCGGGGGAACAGCATCTCCTACAACACATACTGTAGCTTTAGAAAGTAACACTATGGCTCCTGGGGCAAAGACTATGACTTCACTGGACCTTCTCTCTGAGACCACCACTGGGATAACAGGAACATTCCAGACACAGACAATAAGGAAAGACATCATGGCCACAGTGCATTATCAGTCTGTGACCCCTGCAGGGATAAATAAGACTCTTGTCTATCTTCAGACTATGATTCCCAAAGAGAAGGGAACTTCGAAAAAGAAGGCTGAGGTCCTTGGAAAGGTCACTGTTCTCCCCAGAGAGATGTTAGTTACCCCTAATGGACAGATTTAAAATGGGAGAGTTTGATTACTAAGGTAGAAACCTACTCCCAGGATGGGTGAAATTGGTCCTCACATAGAAGTTGAGAACAAGATGCTGTCCCTGTCCCCAGCTCTATTGCCCTGTTTCCATGATACACTCCTATCACTTTTGAAACTGGCTTCACTTTTACTGGTGGGATCCATTCCTTTGTCAACTCAATAGCCCTTCTAACAAATGTCTTCTCTCTTAAAAATAAAAAATGAAGAAAACTCTGAAAACTTTGTATGGATCAAAGATCATGAGCTCCATTGGTGGCAAAGCCTAGGGAAAACACTTGTCTTGTTCTCTATGTGATATGACAGAAGCCATCTCATGCTGTCAACCACAAATCATTTGTGGGGCAAAGCTGGAACCAAAGCCACCAGGAGGCAATCTCCTTTCTGTTGAATAAACTGCAAGCATGTGAATCTGTTGCCTCTGCAATTCTTTTCTATTTTTTTTATTATTAATTACACTTTATTCATTTTGTATCCCCCCATAAGCCCCTCCCTCCTCCCCTGCCAATCCCACCCTTCCTCCCCATGCATGCCACTCCCCAAGTCCACTGATAGGGGAGGTTCTCCTCTTCTTTCTGATCTTAGTCTATCAGTTCTCATCAAAAGTGGCTGCATTGTCCTCTACTGTGGCCTGGTAAGGCTGCTCCCCCCTTAGGGGGAAGTGATCAACGAGCAGGCCAATCAGATTATGTCAGAGGCAGTCCCTCTTCCCATTACTATGTACTCCACTTGGACACTGAACTGCCATAGGCTACACCTGTGCAGGGGTTCCAGGTCATCTCCACGAATAGTCCTTGGTTGGAGTATGAGTCTCTGGGAAGTTCCCTGTGTTCAAATTATCTTGTTCTGTTGCTCTGCTTGTGGAGTTCCTGTCCCCTCCAGCTCTTACTATTTCCCACTTCTTACATAAAATTCCATTCACTCTGCCCATCAGTTGGCCATCAGGCTCAGCATGTGCTTTGACAGTCTATACTGCAGAAGCTTTCAGAGGCCCTCTGTGGCAGGTTTCAAGGTTGTTTCCTGTTTTCTTCTGGCTTTCATAGGCCCTCTGTAGCAGGTTCCTTTTTATGTATATGTGTGTGTGCCTGTTTGAGGGAATGTTCCACACATGCAGGTGCCTGTGGAGGCCAGAAGAGGGCATTGGGGCATTGGCCTCTTTAGAACCAGAGAGAAGGGAACTTCCAGAGAGAAGGCTGAGGTCCTTGGAACAGTCACTGTTCCCCCTATAGATATGCTCGTTACCCCTAATAGACAGAGTACAATTCTAAAATGGGAGAGTTTGATTACCGAGGTGGAAACCTATTCCCAAGATGGGTAAAATTTGTCCCTACATAGAAGTTGAGAACAGGATGCTGCTCTCAACAGGTGAGCTGCCTGATGTGGGTGTAGCAAACCCAACTCTGGGGCTGTATATGAGTAGAGAGTATTTTTAATTTTTGAGTGGTTTCTCCAGCTTACGCTGAGATTCTTAAAATGATCTCAACAATCTAATTGTCAGCTTCTTTCTTTCACAGTGAATTCCCTCCATTGCTGGTTTTGGGAATGTCACCGAGTCTAGTCTACAGTAATGTTTCCCTGTGTAGATCATAGGCTTCTTTCTCTAACATTAGCACCTGCTCACCACTTGGGGGGGTGATGGTGGGGCAGAACCATAATTTACCTTTTTGGAAAGATTTCTTACAATTCTCAAGGGTAGCTGTGAAGAAGAGAAAGAAGGTTAATTTTCCAAGGACATGTGATGCTTACAAAATTTTATTTGTTCCTGAAAACAACAACAAAAACACCCTCACTTACTTTCTGCTCAAGAAGGTGTTGAGAAAACAAAACACTAATTTAAAACTATTTTAATAGGGGGCTGGAAGATTGGGTCAGCAGTTAAGAGAACTGCCTACTGTCTAGAGAATGGGATCTTGTTCCCAACACCAGGACTTACAACTGTTTGTCATTCTAGCCCCAGGCTATTGGATACCCCTTTCTGGTTTCTGGGTACCATGTATATACATGTATGCACACAGGTCACATGTATATACATGAAAGCTCTTCATATTGGTTTCTGGCTCAAACTCAGGTTGTCACCTTATGTGTCTAACCTATTTGCCGTTGGATTATCTCCCTCGCCCATTTCTATGGTTTTAATGGAACATGCCAGTCTCCGGAGCTTTATCCTTAGATATGACTCAGTGTCCACTACAGCACAGATTTTGAGAAGATTTTCCTTGGGAAGCAAGCAGGAATTAACATTTCAAAGCAAGCCATCATTAAGTGGGAAAACTTGAGCTGGGAGTTTATTTAAAATGACTGTAGGTGGCATCCTTAACTTTCTAGATCTAAGTGTCATTAGTTGGGGACCACTTTGTGGGCAATGGAGTATAATCTGCTGACTTCCAATGATATCAAGGAAAGTTTAGAAATTTTGAGCCTGTGAACTATGATAATTAAAAAAAAAAAAAAAGGTTTAGTAGCCAGGGTTTTCACCAAGGCTAGATTAATAACTTATCAGAACTCCATTGATTAATATGTCAAAACTCTAAACTTTTGAAGTCATAACAAATGTATCATTTAAAAAATTATTTCTTCAAAGTGAATAAAGTGTAATTAATAAAGAATTAAAAAACAAAACAAACAAACAAAAATTATTTCTTTCCTTTACATTATGATCATAGACACCTCTCTCCTTCCCTCCTGGTCCCACCTTCCCTCCCCCAACCCATCCCAGCACATCAAGTCACATCAGGATTGAGCTCATCCTCTGCATCCTCTTCCAGTGAGTCCAGGCCAGGAAGACTTGCCAGGGGGAAGTTAATGAAAAGTAGGTGCCAGAGTCCATGTCAGAAAGAGCCCCTGCTCCCCTTACTAAGGAACCCACTTAAAGACTAAGCTGCCCATCAGCTACATATGTGTATGGGGCTAGGTCTAGTCCATACATGGTCCTTTGTTGGTGCTTCAGTCTCTGTAAGCCCCCTTGGGCTCAGGTTAGTTGAATTTGTTGGTTTACTCATAGAGTTCTTGTCCCCTCTGGCCCTCTATCCTTTCCTCCATGATTCCACAAGGCTCCCTGGGTTCTGCCTGTGAGTCTCAGCATCTGTTTTGATCCATTGCTGGGTGGATCCTCTCAGAGGACAGCTATGCTAGGCACCAGTCAGAATTTCTCTCTCTCCCTTGTGATGGGTCTCAGGTTGGGCCAGGGATTGGTTGGACATTCCTTCAATCTCTATTCTGTTTTAGAGAGGCCACTTTCTAACCAGACAGGACTTCTAGTGAAGGGAGGGGAACAACAACCCACCCACACAAACCTTAACCCCAAATTTACCCTGCCTACAAGATGTGCAGGGATAAAGACAGAGCATAAGTATCATCTTTAAATCTCATTTTCCATATACTTTAAATAATAACTTCCTCAGACCTTTATAACTTGCATACATTTTAAACCTTTTCTTTCTTTTCTCCTAGAAATACCCAATCATTTGCTGAGATGATGGTGCTTGATAAGGGAGAGCAGTCATTGAAAAGTATGTTCTTTTAAATAAAAGTATTTTAATAACAACAGTATTGTAGCTTGAGTTTGTCTTTACTTTGAAGTCTGTTTTGCGAGTTTGCTTTTCTCAGCATGAAGCATGCGAGCAAGGTAAGCCTGCCTGCACATTTCCCTTTATCAGAAAGACCTACTAGGGAGAAAAAGCAAGGCCTGATTTTTACATATGAGGTGGACTTACTAGCAGCTGCAGCCTTTGTAGGAGAATCTGGCTAAAGTGTGCTTGCAGCTGTTAAACTAATAAAACTGGGCAAACCATCACTACTATCACAGAGACCTGAGAAGTTACATTTGAGTAGGAAGTATAAATCAAATGACCTCTGTAACAACTGAAGTGACAAAGACTTACCCACTGCCTGGAAAACCAGCTTGGGATTCTCCATGGTGATCTCAATGGCTTTGTTTCGGGTAGAGGTCTTCAGGCTTTGGCTGTCATGCAGTACAATATTAGCCTTTGGCCTCTAGACCCAGAAGGTCAGAGAGACTTTCCTGTGTAGGTTGTCCTTGGGAAACTGACCTACCTTGGCCAGTCAGAGTAGGGCAATCAACCACTGTCTGCTATTTGGGTAGGGCCTAGAGTGCTGGGCTAGACATGGGGCAGTTTTTTTTTTTTTTCATTCCCTGTGATCAGCATTTCCACTCTTAAAACAAGCTGTAGGTGGAGTCTGTTGCTGCCTGTCTTCTTTGGAGACAGCTTCAGCTGCTGCCACCAGAAGCTGATATTTTTTTTCTATCAAGGTGTTAGGTCCCACAAAATTCCATTTTCCAAAATTTGGATTTTAGACAAAAGTTAGCATTCCCTCAGGAACATATGGCTCTGTAAGGCCTATTAGCATGCCAGGGTCTATGCTGGCCTTAGTTTCTACTCACAAGTCCCTGTCACAGAGTCATCCTGTCTGGCATACCCTCCCCATTACCCTGAACCTCCCCAGCTTCTGAGCTTCCCTTTGCTTCCCCAGCTTCTCTTCCCTATATAACTCAACCATTTTGGTTATGTGCTCTGTCAGTTCTGCTCTTGGCTCTGCTCCTTGACTTTTTTTTTTCTTTTTTGCCCCCTCACTTCTCCCCTCTCTTTCTCTCTCTTGCTCTTTGCCCTCTCTTTCCTCTCATGGCCTCATCTATTTTGCTGGATATGTTCAACCTGGAAACCTGGAATCTTTCAGATATATCTGGCTGTTCTCTTCCTCATAACTATAACACCCTCAACTATACCTAGGAGGGGTCATGTCTGAGAAGGAGTTTGAGGGTCATCATCTAGTCTATTAGGTATACCTGAGTTCAAACAAACTTTACTTTTTTTTTTTTTTTTTTACTTGCTTCAGGCTTAACCCTGACAACATATGCAGAAGGTCAAAGCTTATCCCTGTAAATGAATTATATTTCTATTTAGCATGACTACAGGCATAGTTCTGAGCATATTGACTAATTTGGTTATTTATAAGGTGAGTGACCATTAACTTTCATGTCTCAATTATCTTTAACACTTTACAACAAATTAGCAACTTTTTAGTATACTAGGATATTACAATGTTACCTCTGTCAAGCTCAAGCTTTAAATTTTTGAATTGAAGATTTAATTGAGATTTTTTTTTCAAAATAAAATAAATAAAACAAAACATTGAACCATAAGTATAACCCATGGAGAGACTGGGAACCTTATCTTTCTGATTTTTTTAAACAATGTACTTTTATAGAGTATTGCAAGTTTTTGTATGACTTTGTTTATCCAAATAGCTAAAGGTTAACAAAGTTAGTAAAGACAAAGGCTAGACATAAATCTTTAAGTCAGTTTTTGCTAGCATAAATATATCCTTAAAACCATTTGTGTTTATAAATCTTAATAAAACATTTGTTTCAGAAAAAAACCCTGTGCCCAGACTTTTTGGATCTGTTGCTTTCCTTGTGGAGCTCATGTCCTCTCCAGATCTTACTATCTCCCACTTCTTTCATAAGATTCCCTGTACTCTGCCCAAGGTTTGGCTCTGAGTCTCAGCATCTGCTCTGATACCCTGCAGGGTAGAGCCTTTCAGAGGCCCTCTGTGGTAGGCTCCTGTCCTGTTCCCTGTATTCTCCCTCCTCTGATGTCCATACTCTTTGCCTTTCTGAATGGGGATTGAGCATCTTAGCCAGAGTCCTCCTTCCTGATTAGCTTCCTTAAGTGTACAGATTTTAGTATATTATATGTCTAGTATCCACTTATGAGTGAGTATATATCCTGTGTGTCTTTCTGTTTCTGGGATACCTCACTCAGGATGATCTTTTCCAGTTCCTACCATTTACTTGCAAATTTCACGATTTCCTTGTTTTTTATCGCTGAGTAATATTCCATTGTGTAGATGAACCACAATTTCTGTATCCATTCCTCAATCTAGGGGCATCTGGGCTGTTTCTAGGTTCTGGCTATTACAAATAAAGCTGCTACAAACACAGTTGAGCAGATGTCCTTGTTGTATACCTGAGCGTCTTTTGGATATATGCCTAGCAGTGGTATAGCTGGATCATGAGGAAGCACTATTCCTAATTGTCTGAGAAAGCGGCAGATTGATTTCGAAAGTGGTTGTATAAGTTTACATTCCCACCAGCAGTGGAGGAGAATTCCCCTTTCTCCACATCCTCTCCAGCATGTGTGGTCACTTGAGTTATTCATCTTAGCCATTCTGATGGGTGTAAGGTGAAATCTCAGGGTCGTTTTGATTTGCATTTCTCTGATGACTAAGGACGTTGAACATTTTTTAAGTGTTTCTCTGCCATTCGATATTCCTCTATTGAAAATTCTCTGTTTAGCT